AAGAACTCCAGAATTAGAACTGGAGGGGATTTAAATCCCAGCTCAAACACTTAGTAGATTTGCAACCTGGAGCAAGAGAGCAAGCCTACAAGACAACTGCAAAATGTAAATAATGCCAATAATGCCCTGGTTTGCAAGCCTTTTGTAAAATATAAAGTCAGATATAGCAATTAATGAGGCCGTAACTTGTAGCAATATACAATAAACAGTGTATTGATCATTAAAAAAAAAAAATGAAAGTTTTGCCATTTAAGATGTGTATTTTACCAAACATAATGGTGTGCCCCAGATTCTCAGGGCACTGAAGCAAAAGGATTACAAGTTCAAGTTCAGCCTGGGCAATTTCAAAAGAAATTAAAAGGGCAGGGAATATAGCTCAGCACTCCCAGAGTTTAATCCCCAGTACTGTGAAGTGTACAGTTCAGTGTGTTTTTTCCAGTCCACATAGTTCTATAGACATCACAATGACCAATTTGAAAACATTTTCGTCATTCCAAAAAGAAACCCACAACTTTGAACCGCCCAGCGCCCCTGGGGGGGGGAGGCTGCAAGCCCCAGAAGGCAGCCCTTGGGCTGGCCTTATTAGCACCGCACTTCCAGGGAGCAGCTGGCCGCCCCTTTGTGGAGACGCAGCTGTGCCCAGGGCAAGCACTGCGCTGGCCCCATGACTCCGTCCCCAGTTCCCTCTGCAGAACAATACGTTGTAGCACACACCAGTGCATGTCGTGGTACTTTATAACTTTCAGAAAGGTAAACTGTCCTCGACTTTTAATACAGCTACTCAGCCCTAACCCAGCAGCTCCTGGAGCTGTGATCAGCGACAGCTGACTGACCGGAAGTGCAGCTGTGCTTCTCCTCCTTGTGACGAAAGGTGATCTGGGTCCCTTAACCAGCCTCCCACGTCACCCACAGGGCCTGGCAATCACAGGGCCTCAGGTGCCCCATGACAAGGCCCTTGGCCCTGCCAACATGCTGACGCAGTAGAAATGCATGAAGCACCCCGTAAGTTGGCAAATGCTAACTGTGTATATTTAGGGTGCTAAACACCCGCCTGTATGTAGGGCTGCACTGGGATAAGGAATATAGTACGGGCAAGACGGGCCTCGAAGCCGAAGAATGTGTGTGCTAGCACAACTGTAGCCCTGGTGACAGCGACTCTGTAGAAGAGGGAGGACGGGAGGGTCACTTCTTGTGGGATCTGGGTGGAGGAGCCTTGGGACCGCTAGTGACAAGGATGACGGGAGTGCCCCCGAATCCAGGACATCCTCTCCAATGTCCCCTCCATCACTCTGCTCCCTGAGAGCAAAAATTAAGTTCTAATTTTAAGGGCAGAGAGGGCAGTCCTCAGGAATGAGCCCACGGGGGCTGCACCATGAGCTAGGCCTGTAAACCTTTTTATTTAGAGAAAGGGCCTCATCATCCTTCCCAAACTGCCCTTGCACTTGCAGTCCTCCTGCCTCGGCCTCCTGGTAGCTGGCTTACCCATGTGTGCTGTGCCACCTGCCTCCCCTCCATTCTGTGACCTCTTGTAGGAGGCCTGTCATTTTGAGCACCAAGGACAATTTGCTAAGTGAATAAGTGAGGGTACATGTGTTCGAGATGACTTTCAGCAAGCCTTTCCCAGAGGCCTTTTGGTGATAATTTGGTCTTTACAGATAGGGGGAAGTGGCAGGGAGAGAGAGAAAAAGAAATCCAAACCTTGTCCGTTGTTCTCTTCAGAGTGGAGACGACTCTTCCGAAGAAGAGGAAGGGGAAGTAGACAGTGAAGTTGAATTTCCACGAAGACAGAGGTAAAACCAGTGGCTGTGGCTGCTCTCCGTGCAGTGGGGGATCCTGGGATTCCCACACTCACTGTCTAGCACATGCCACTTATGCAGCCACCTCCCCAGGGGCAATTCCACTGCCGCAGTTGGAAAGTGGTGAGGGGCTTCTGTGGATGCAGACAGGGGAGCCTGGTGGGCTGGGTGGGAGGGTGGCCACGCTGCGTGTGGGTGACGACTGGTTTCCCATGGACCTGCTTGTGATAACCAGCTGGGGCTGCAATAATGAAATCCTGCAGCTTGGGTTAAACCACAGAAATATCTCACATTTCTGGAGGTGGAAGGCCCAAGGTCGGGGTCACAGCCCCCATGCCTGCCGGTGAGGCTGCCTACTGGTCTGAGGCCACAGCCTTCTCGCTGTGTTCTCATGGGGCAGTGGGAGGCAGAGAGGATGGGAAGATGCAGGGAACAAAATTCAGTTCCTGGCCCTTCTCTAGTCCTGTCGAATTAATTTCTGCCTATCTTGACCTCTAGTCTTGCTGGGGGGCAGAGGGAAAGAAAACCAACTAGATCCTCTCTCAGAAACTCTGAGGACGAGGACGGGGGCGAGGGCTGCGCCCCTGCTAAGTCACCGTGGTTCCCTGTGCTTCCAGGACCCACCGCTGCATCCGCAGCTGCCAGTCATATTCAACCTTCAGTTCGGAGAACTTCTCTGTGTCTGATGGGGAGGAGGGAAACACTAGCGACCACTCAAACAGCCCGGATGAGCTAGCTGAGAAAATTGAAGACCGCTTGGCAGAGAAACTGGACGACCTGCTGGCGCAGACGCCGGAGATCCCCATTGATATCTCCTCCCACTCGGACGGGCTCTCGGACAAGGAGTGCGCCGTGCGCCGCGTGAAGACACAGATGTCCCTGGGCAAGCTGTGTGTGGAGGAGCGCGGCTACGAGGTGGGTGCCCCCGTGTTGCGACCCCTCCAGTGCTTAGTGGGGTTGGGGTATGTCCACGTGCTTAGGGCCTTTCCGATTTTCTAGTAGTGCATAAAACAGGGCAGCTGCCTCTGTAGCATAAGGAGACAGGACTTTGGGCTTTCAGGGATGAGGCCCATTGTCCATCCCTCACCCGCACCCCACCGCCCAGTCTACTCAGGGCACTGTCCCCTCTGTTCCCTCCTCTTGGCCCCTCTGTCCTGGAAGATAGATAGTGTCTGGCACAACACACTGATACCTCTCCAAGAGGGAGGGTGGCAGAGTGGTGGTCAGTGGGTACCCAGACTCCAGCCACTCACCTGCAAATCTCAGCCTGTGCACCTGTCAGGCGACCCCGAGCGAGTGGCTCAGCCCAGCTCCTTCTCTGTAAGATGGGAATGGTAACCTCTGGCCTCTCCCTGAGGTCTGCCCCAGCTCATTGGGTCATTGAGATGATTGCATGGACGTGCAGCCTTGGTAATGGCACCTGGAGCACAGCAAGTGCCACAGCAGAGGAGGCGGGGAGGTGGTGCTGTCAGCGCCAGAGCCACTGCCACCATGGCCCGTGGTGTCCCTTTTCTCCGGAAGCCCCACAACAGCAGGGTGCCCCCAGGGCCCCTCATCTGTCATCCCCCGCCTCAGCACGGAGCCGTCCCACGGGAGGTGGTGTCCGTCCCGTCCACCACCCCCACCCCACATGTGCTGGCTCGCCGCCGAGGGATGCTTGAAGACATGATGTCTGGTTTTGTTCTTTGCAGAACCCTATGCAGTTTGAAGAATCAGACTGTGACTCTTCCGGGGGGGAGTGCTCGGACGCTACAGTGCGGACCAATAAGCACTACAGCTCTGCCACCTGGTGAGGAAGGAGCGCCACCTGACCGGCTCAGGACACTCCGGCATTTCAGACGCCCCAGCTCTTCCTGCTCTCTCCCTTCTTTGTCTGGGAGGAGAGGGAGAGCTGCCCCTCTCTCAACCCCTAGAAATGAGCTGCAATAACAGGAACAGGAGACTTCACCATTCTCTGGGGGAAAAGATATCCAAATGAAATTAAGTCTCACTGAACATTTCAATCAAGAATGGCAGGGATCTATTTTATTGAATATTCTAGCTACTGTAACATTGATATTTATTTTTCTTGGACATTTTAACACTTTGTACTGTAAAGAGTGAACTATATATGATAGAGTCACAATAATTTCTTGCAAAAAAAAAAAAAAGGAAAGGAAAAGAAAAAAGTGGACTTTAGGAGCAACATCTTGGGGAATTTGTGGGGCCGGGGGATATTATTGCTGCTTGAACTGGGGACCAGGTCCTTTGGCCATAAATGACTGAAGAAGCAAGACATATAGAACATCGTAGGATACAAAGAACAAAGAAAAAACGGCAGTTGCCGGTACCTTGTGCATAGGCACAGCAAGTGCTCCCAGCTTGTCCAGGGGGTGATGGACAGGACCTAGAAAAGCCTGGTGACCAGACCCTTTTGCACTTGCGGTCTTTAAGGGCTCGGGCTTCCACTAAGAGGAAAACCCCAGCAAACCATACGTGAGGCTGCTTCCATGTTTTAACTTTCAGCAGCGTTTGACAGTGAGGTGTACAGATCAGGTCATGCCTTGTCCCTAGCAAATCCGTCCCTTTTTAATGCTGTCATCGTCTATCCCTTAACCAGTGTGGTACCTTGACCAATGTGTTGATCTTTCAGGTTCAAGTGCCATTTTCCCGTAGTTCTTTTTTATTTTTACATTCCAGCTGCTGACCACTTCCCTTAGTGCAGGACTGGAGCGGGAGGGATTGCCGAGGAAGAGCAAAGGACAAGAGAAAAAGAGCCGGTGCAATAGCAGGAGGAAAACACAGGGGGAGTTGCAGAAGGGCGTGCTCCGACGCACAGTTCAGCCGAGGGGTGAGATGGAGCTGGCCCTCTACAAACGGGTTCAATTCCAACAGAACAGAATGTGAAGGCGGCCAGGACCCGTGTGTGAGTGCATGTGCAGTATCCAGTCCCAAACCTTCCCGTGTTTCTATCCGACAGCTCATCCTATCCCAGAAGCTTTAGTGACAGGCTGTCCCCTTGGGAAAAAAGGTACAGTAGGCAACTTGCAAAAGGCAGCCCTTCTCACACCATGATGGCGTTTTTGTTCATTGCTACTTGTAAAATATATCTTACTTCACTCTGAATTAGTGCAGTTTTTGTTAATTGGACTTGGAAATTGGTGAAGAGAGCCACTAACACTAAGCAAGGAATTGGTAAGATTTTACACAGTCAAAGCCATGAGCTCTTCCTGTCTCAGAGGTCATGAGCTCCAAAACGCATCCCACAGGAATTCCTGGCAGCTTGGCTTGAAGAAACATTTTACCTAGAATTTTACAGACAGATGAAGGTTGCCCTCCTTCCTATCTCTGTCTCCAGCATAGGCTATGGTCCAGCAACCTCTCCCTGCTTGCTGGGACTCCGGACCTTGCATCCTGGGGTGGCAGGCAAGCTTGCACATACAGGTATTAAATCATTTCCAGTGCAGATGAAAACAGTGTCCCTCCTATGGGCTGCGCTCACTGCACCAGCCAAAAAGGAAAGGCAGGAGGGAGTTTAGAGCAGTCCCTTTTGTTTGTTTGATCCCTCCACTTGTTTACACTTTTATGTCAAGACATGGATTTAAAATGTAGTGTCTATAATTTGTAGCTCATAGCTAGGATGAAGGAAAATGTTTAACTTATACAGAGAACAGTATTGTTTGCATTAAATTATTCCGTTTTGTATGACTTCTGTAGCTGGACTACATGAAAGATCTTAAGTTGTGGCATTATTACCATTGTTATTTTATTTTATATTATCATTCTCATTTTCTGTCGATCAGAAGGTGTGGTTTACGGTGTAGGACAGTGACTGTGTTTATCACTGACTGTGGATTATTATGGATTTTATGACTGGAATGAAGGCGTGAAAATGCAACTGCCAACTGGGAGCTCCCTGGTGCCCCCCTTAACTGTATTCCCTGGTTTTCTGTGTACAACAACAATCACCTGAGCATGCATGTCTGCCCTGAACCCAAACGTTACATTGGGATTTTGACTTGACCGTGAAAGTGCCTGGGTGGGTAGATGCCTAAGCAGATGGATAAATAATTTAGAAGCTGTAAACTTTCCCAAATTTCATGAGAAATAAAATCACGGGACTACATTAGAAACAAAAAGGGAATTATTTAGTACCCTAGGAGGAACAGGCCTCCATTTTCTACAAGGGGCTTGTGGATCAATTTAAAAAATTGTCTGCATAGTTTATAATCTCCTTCCTGCCAGATACCACAAAACCAACCTTTTCCCCTCAGTGGGAGTGGCAGGAAGACAAAAGAAAGAAGAGAGATACAGAGAGATGGCAGGACATAAAACGCCTAGCTATGATGCCACCCTGGAACTAATTTAAGGTAGGACGCTGAAACACCTGAAGTCACTTCGAGGGTCACAGGGCCAGGAGAGCCCTGAAATGCTGGCATCAGATGCCACTCAAACCGTGACTCTGCCTCACTGCTCCTTAGACAGGGAGGCGACAACGCTGAGTCCTGTTTGTAGTCAGCACACAACATTGATGATTTTACTCATTTTTTTTGCCCACATTCAGTGGCAGCAGAAAATCATGGGGGCCAACTTCTGTCTCATACATTTCATGGTGGTCTTCCTCAAAAACCCACCCCACACCCCCTCATTTGATCTGTTTTTCTAATGCCCGTCTTGGCTGGTTAATGCCCCTCATCCTGACTCACTCTCAAGAGCCTGTCAGGGAAGCAGACAGTGTTGAGCCCTAAGTCATTCACTGTATTGTCAAGATTTGAATAAAGTCCACCTTGAACAATCCCCCCCACCCCCAGTAGAATTGACTAAAGGTTTCTAAGACCTGGCATCCTGGTGTCTGGTGTCCTTTGTCCAGGCTGAAAGGGCAATATTTTCTGCATCCCCACCTTGTCCTTCATTACTTGCCTTCTGAAAATCAGGGAAATCCTGACTTGTGCTTCTTGGCCAACGGCTCCACCGCCATTGGAAGGATGTTGAGTCAAGAGCTCAGGGAGTGGCAGAGCTAATTGTTTAGGCCTGCCAGCCTCAGCAGTGCTTCGAGGAACCCCACGGGGCTGTGATTTCCAGTCCCTGACTGCGCGTGGGACTCCCCGGGGGATGAGTGTGCACATCCACCACACGCCTATTTCTGACTGCAAGATGCGTTTCCAGGTGTATTGTACACAAGCGCCTTGTTTGGGGAGGAGGAGGGTTCATTTTGGTTTTTCTCTTTTCCTACATCGTGACCTCAAATAAGAGTTCCTCTTGAAATTGCTCAGCAGGAGGGTGGTGAAGGCTGCATCCCCTTTGAAATGGACCCCACAGCTCTGAAGGTTCAATCTGTTTGCAGGATTGGGGGTGCTCTCCCCAGAGAGCTACTGTAGGATGATGTGGAGTGGCCGACTATTTTAAGACTTTAGTAGCAACAAATTTATTGCCAGATGTGGTAGCACATGCTGTAATCCTAGCACTCAGGAACGTGAGGCAGGAGGGTTGTGGAGCGTTTGAGGCCAGCCTGGGCGACATAAGCGAGTTCAAAGCCAGCCTGTATTGCTACACAGTGAGACCCCATCTCAAAAAAAAAGAAAAAACAATTCTGTGTAGGAGTAAAGTCATTTTTTAGTAGGATTTAATAAATACTGGGCATTTATTTCGGGGCCTCTTTTGCTGTCACTGTGTCCCACCCCAAGTCATAATGTGATGGCGCTGGGTTTCCCTGGTACTAACTGAGCCTGCTTAGCAAGCCCTTCCCCCGTGGAGCACTGACCCACATCCTCTTAGGGTGACCCAGTCTTCTTGACCAGATGGCTCACTCTTTATTTCCATGCATTTGGGTTTCTTTATATTTTCCTTTTCATAAAACATTCCTACTTAGGGGCCAGCGAGATAGCTCAGGGGACTAACCACCTGCTTAGGCAAAGCTTAGGCAAGCACAGGGACTGTGGTTCGATTCCCGGCACCACATGCCACACCAGTCCGGCCCCCAGGGTGGGCTCAGCCAGCCAGAGTGCAGGTATAGTGGTACATGCCTGTAAGCCCCCCAGTGGGGAGGCTGAAAGCAAGAGGATCACTACGAGTCCAAGCGGCGTAGTGAAACCCTGCAACAACCAAATACATTTTTTAAAAAAAATTCCTACTTATGCTTCCTAATATTGAATTTTCAGAGCAGAAATAATATTTGAAATCCGAGGAATCACTGCCCTACCCTACAGTACAGTGAGATACAATTTCTGTTTCTACTAGGCCAGAAACAAAAACACCACCATCTTGTACCTTTTCCTAAACACCCAAAACTAAATTTATTGAGCACTATATTAAGCCTCAGACCCTCTCACAACACACCTGAAGCAATGTCACCATTTGATTGGAATTAACACGCAGAGGGACATGCCTCTGGCCTGTTTCAGAATCCATTTCTAAAAGGTAGTTTGAGACCTTGAATTCATCATGGTGTGAGAACAACAGGATCTTACCAAGGTTCTCCTTGTGGATCCCATTGAAGGCTAGCAGGGCCAGCACCATGGCAGAGAAAAGGCCCCTTGCCTCTCTTCGCTGCCTTTTTGGACAGCAATTCCAACTGAACAATCACCAAACACCGATGGGTCACATTCCAAAATGTTTCTCCCTTTGCGTCCTCGATGTTGAATGAGCACATGCCTCCGGAGGTGCTGTGAGACTCGTGGAACATCTTCAAGACTCTGGCTGACCCTATCAGTATGAAATCAGTGCCGTTCCAAGCAACAAGGTTTTCTTTGCTGATTTCACAGAACAAATTTCCCAGTATACACCCACCACCGTGTCCCAGCCTCACAGACCGGCCCGTAGAACCCTATTTGTCTGCTGGGTTGCATGTTACAGCAGGCACTGCCAAAGCCTGCTCACCTGGGAACACACTAGGCTGCTAAGCCAGACGCCCCAGGGAACATGGAGCGCTTCTCAGAGACAAGTGGCAGGAGAGGGTGCTCCAAAATCACTCTCTGAGAAACAGGAGTTCAAGCTTGGGCTGTCACGCGCTCCATGTGTGACATCACGACTCCCCCGAGCCAGGCCTCCAGTGGATACCAAGGCCACTTCCCGGAGGCTGCCGGCAGAATCCCAGCAGTGCTGGGGCTTCTCAGCACTCGGGATCACCGGCTCTGGCCCCAGGCTGCTGTCCAGTGTGCCGTCCTCACACGCTAGCGTAGCCCACAGCGAACTCCAGCCTGAACCTTAGTGCTCAGTAAGATGTCCTGCCTTGACCACAGCACTTCTATAGCTGTCACCTCTGTAGGGAACGCGTCCTAGACTCTGGAAGGGGGAGACCCGCTGGGTCCTTACAACAGTACTTTGAGTTCCTATCACTATGGAGGAAATGGTTGCCTTTCTGTGGTTCAGTTTCAAAATGAGCCACCTCGCTGCTGACTCCCTCATGGACTGTGCTGTGGGTTTCCTGCTCCGTGTGGTCTTCCGATGTTTGTACCGAGTAGCAACAGGAAGAAGAATGGCTATCAGAGTGGAACTGCATGAGATTAAACAGAAAGTGTTCCCTGGTCCTGTCCTTTCCTAAGGACATCACTTGTGTCTTGTGGGCCACCTTCATGGGTCTGGGAATTCATCTGCACATGGAGAAGCTAAGACTTCATCCCATGAACGGGTTTCTGCAACCAGGAGAAGCATGTGATGGAGCGCCCCAGTTCTGCAGCACTCCCATTCAGACACAACCACAAAAGCCCTAGCCATCATTTGTAGTCAGTGTCCCTTCTTGAGTTTTCCCTAAGAGCTTGGATGGACTCTCTGCTTTTTCCATGGGTGGCTCTGCTCCCTCTTGCAGCTGTTCCTGTCCCCAGTGACACCACTAGAATGTGAACAGAGAGAGGAAGTGGGAATCTGGAAGAAATTTGGTCAGAGGCCTGCTGAGAGCAGAAAGCTAAAGTACCACTTCAGGTTGTCCAATTTTCAGTCAATCCTAGATTTTCTTTGGTAAGCGCAGCTGAAGTGTAGCAACACGTAGAAACAAGCACTTACGTCCATTTATTTAACACAGGATGCTTATATCCATTTATTTGGGAAACTGCTTTACCTGTAAACTCTTAACCCAGTAAGGCACATTTTTGGAAAACCATGCAAGAAGGAAAAGGACAAATCTAAGGGTCCTGAAAAGAGACACGGGACACACATTTGCAACACACATTGGTGGGGCGCTCCTTCCCTCCCCCTACTCCAGAACACTAATAGCTACCGCTACCCAAGTCATGTCCTCACCTCCACTCACACCTTTGCCTAAAAAGAAACACTTTTAATGAAACCTTTGTTCTGTAAGATTCCTAGCATGTCCAAACCCCACCACCTGGGGGCCCACTCTTCCTGTGGAGTGTGGTTATTCTCAAGAATTCATATTAGAGACCTAGATTAGAGCCCTGGCAAGATTCTTGGCCACCTGAAACAACAAACCCAGCAGATGATGTCCAAGGGCTGGGAAGGTCATGATGAGGGCACAGGGTCACAAAGCCGCTCTGCTCTGCTCTGCTCAGCTGTGAAGTCCATCTGTCCCCAGAGGCAATGCCCCAGGCCTGCACCAAATCAACCCTACTGTCAACTACTGCTTGAAAACTTTAAGTAATCACTATACAACACAACCAACTAAACAGCCCAAGCCCAACTCTACCTCTTTGAATTAAAAAAAAGAACTATTCCTCATTCTCAGCAAATGACAAAATGAAAAACATTCACAGGGGACATTGGCTGGTAGCCTAGGATACAGAATCACTCTCCTAACAGGAAGAGGTGAAAGGACACAGCAAAACACACACATGGCCTCCAGGCTTGCCTTGTCCAGGGCCCTGCCCTCTCCAGGACATAGCCAGAAGATAAAGAATTTGTTCCATTAATATTTAATAATCTGTTTACAGTCAGCTTAACTGTCACACACGGACATCAGGTGATAACACAGGGGCATCACAAAAGTCACTGCATCTGAGCTATCGGTGGAGGCGCTAGGTAGTTCATCAACTTGATTCCCTTGGTGTAGGAAGAGGTAGCTCACCGGTGAAAGAACACAGAATACTCCCCAAGAGACTGACATAAGGCCACCAGCCCCATCAGCGAGGTGGGCCCAGTCAATGCTGACACTATGGACGTGAGCACTGTCACACAGCCTGTCACTTCGCAGAAGGTGCTCTCTGAGGACAACCAGCTCCAAAAGCAGCAGGGCAAGAGGCAAACCCAACCGGCCATCCTGAGTTCTCTGTGGCGTGAGTCCTGATACAGTCCACCCGCTGGAGCAGATGAATGGTGCCCAAGAACGGTGAGGATCTTGACCACACCCATTATGCAAATCAGGATAGGACGTCACAGAATAGGCGGAGGGAAAGTCTGGATCACGTGTCTTTTCTACTCTCTGTGTGACCCGTGGGCACCCTCTCATTCAAGTGCAGGTGCTTCTGGCTGAATTTTTTAATGAGCGTTCCAGGGACTAAGGCCACCAGGGCAATGGCCAGGAGCTTCAGGACCGTTTCCCAGGAGAAGAGAGCATGCAGGGAGGTGAGGGTTGACAAGATGGAGCCCGTCTGCACACAGATGAAATTGTACGGGATCAAACCTGGAAGAAAGGAAGGTAAAGGGCCTGTGAACGGGAGCAGGAACACTAAGAGAACAGCGCAGCAGCAGGGGCCCAGGAATTCATGAGGGACTACAGCTTCAGCCTGGGTCCTGACCCAGAGCCGCCACCCCCTGCGCCTCTCCTTTCTGTTCTTTTCCTCCCTTTCCTCACTTCCTGTCTGCGCCTGCCTGTGCACCCCAAGAACCTGGTCTGCACTCATGCACGTGAGCATAAGACACAAATTTAAAACTCAGATAAGTGAGTGGAGAGAGTAAGACAGTCAAGAAGGAGTTCAGCACAAAGTGCCCCTCGGTTTGCACCTTTACTAAAGATGGGCTCCCAACCTGGTTCTGCGTGCCCAGCAGCTTAAGTATAGAGTAAAATACCATCATCATGAGATTTACAGTATACGTAAGAATAAAGAAAGAAAGAAATAGTGCTAGGGAATTATGGGGGCAGATGGGGGCCCTGGGTTCAAACTCCCAGCCCTGAAAAATCAAACAAGTTCCTTAAAATAAATGCCACCTTTCATATTCTGCACTGTTTCCAAGAAGTAATCAAAGCCACTGAAAGCCTGGCTAGTGGCAGGACAGGTTAGTCACACCACAACATGCTGGTTAGAGCCTTAAAAACAGTGTTAGGTTCTATCCAGGGACTCTGCCAACCCCCACTCCTAGCTTCTGACTGGCCTGGGGTGACCTGGAAACCCCTCCCTCTTCTGTAATACAGGAAATCTACAGCACAGGAAGGTCACAGACCACCCAAGGTCACACAGCTTGCAGACAGAAAGGTGCCCTGGTCTCCAGTCTTCCCACACCTCCCACCACCTAGGTAATACAAGCTGTTAATGCCATTAGCTGAGCTACAGAAGTGGAAGTGCTGTGCCTGAAAGCCCTTATGACCAGAGCTGTCTGTGGTAGATACTGCTTCGATTTAAGATCTGTTTTAAGATCTGTTAAGATTTCTGTTAGACCGGAAAGCCCTGGCTGTTGGTCTCTCCATACTCTAAGTATCCTTACTTTAGGCCTAGAGGGCAAGGAAAGTAACAGTCACCAAAGGGTGGGGAGAGTCGCCAACTTTACAGGGTGTCTGCACTTCACCATCCCAATAAAAGAAACCCTGCTCCAATTCTGGTCCTTCGAGGGGGAGTAGCAAGCCAGAAGTCGTACAAATGCCAAGCCAAGCAGACACTTTAGCAATCATCTAATTCAGGGGACTTCAAAACTCAGGATCCAACAGAATCCCTTCCAAGGACTGAAGACTCATACTGGATCCTTGCAGGACCTGGAAAACTCAAATATGCCAAGTCCTGTGTCCCACCCCAGAAGTGAGGATGCAGGGATTGCGGGAAGCTCCCCAGGAGCAGGCTGAGATGTGGCTCAGCAGCAGAGCCCTTGGCTGTCAGGTACAAGGCCCTGGAGCCGGATTCCAACTACACACACACACACACACACACACACACACACACCCTCAGGTGATTTTTTCTTAACTTATATACATAAATATAGGGGGCTTCCTGAGGATTGAACCAGCTGAGAAACACTGCTTAGGTCACAGGCCTGAAGACACTCCTCGTGAGCCTGGGAGGCAGGCACATGTGACCCCGGGATGTCCCCCAAACCCACAGCACCAAAGCCTCGAACTTACACTCCAGCACTTACCGATAAGGACTGAGAAGAAGAACTGCACAATGGGAATGTTCAGAATTGGGGCTGAGAGGTTCAAAAACCAGTTTGGCGTCATGGGGAAAAGTCTCAGAAACAGTAAGAAGAAGAACAGACTGTCTCTGTTCTCCTCCACCTGCAGCAAGAGGACAGAGCAAAGAGTCACAAGAGGCACTGTCCTGGACACGGTGTCTCCTACTCCCAATTCTTGCCACAACCCTCAGGCGTGTAGAGGAACTTAAGGCTCAGAGAAGCTGGGAACTTTGCCCAAAACCACAGAGCTGGGATTTTTTTGGTTGAAGGGTTGGGGTTGGATTGGCAGTAGGGTGGTGTTTGGCTGGGGGTAAAGTAGGGGTGGGGCCAGGTTGTTCTTTTCTTTCGTTTAAGACAGGGTCTCACTATGTTCCTTAAGCTGGCCTCAAACCTCTAATTCTCCTGTATCTAGAGCTGGCCAACATTGAGAGCTCTCAATCTTATGGACAAGCTTATAGAAAAAGATTAAATAAAAGACAAAATGCAAGGTAGTCTGGGAGTCCAGCAAGGCCAGCATTGGAGCAAAGACAAAAACTTCTCTGGATTATTCATATTTATTGTGTCCTTAACAATTGAGGGGAGGACACAAAGTGGAGGGCCGCAGCCCACAGAGGCGCAGGCCTTGGGAAGTTAGAACGAAGACACTCTAGGCAGTAAACCTTGCAAATTAAGAGAACTGTTTTATCTCTAAGGTTGGCAGTTACTGCCCTGGAACTGGAGTGAGCCAAGCGTCCTCCGCTGCAGTCTTACCTCCCTCTCGGAGGCTGTGAGTATGAGTTTTTCTAGTACAACCAATGAGCACTGTGGTCAGCAAGGTAACCCTGCACAGCCTGGTCCCCAACACTCCTGCTTCAGTCTCCGAGTACTAGGATTACAGGATTACACTGGCACCCACGGCTCAGAGCTGGGGTTTGGTCCTAGGTGTGCACCCCCTGATGACACTAACAGAACCCCTAGGACCCACCAAGGAAGGGCAGAGGAGTCACGTGGGACATCCTGCTCCTCACCTCCCTGAGGCCACGAGGGGACACTAAGGCTGGCGCTCAGCTGTTGTCCCTCCTCACCTTCCTCTGTAGCAGTGCCACTTTATCTGGAAAATAGGAGACCACCAGCTGCTTGCCAAAAACACTGGAGAGCAGGTAGCAGCACGAGGCGCCCACTGATGTCAGCACACAGCACAGCAGAAGGCCCAGCCACGGCCCAAACAAGGCACCAGCTAAAACGTTCTGTAAAGAAAGCAAGAGCTCAGCCACGGCCACACCCAGTGGCTAACGGTCCCACGTCTGGGCCTCACTGCTGGTGTCGTCCTCCTGTGGTTTGCCAGCCAAAACCCATTACCCACTTTAAGGAGGTGAGTGAAAAGGCTGCGGACAACAGCCCTGACCTCAGTCTCTTCATCATTTTGTTTGTTTTCTGAGACAGTCTCCCACTGTAGCTCAAGCTGGCCTCGAACTCACAGCAATGCTCCCGCCTCAGCCTCCTGAGCGCTGGGATAACAGGCATGGGCCACCGTGCCTGGCTCAGGCTCTTCATCTTTCAGAACAATTGGGATTAGCACCTCTGAGGGCAGGAGCAAATTCAAAGGCTAACATGCGAATGTAGCACCCAGCCTTAGCTGCACGGGCTGTGGCAGACCTCTGCTGACCAGACTGGCTCCTGGAAAGTAGAAACACAACTCGCAGGTCGTTTTTACTACATCAGAAGATGGACACACACCATGAGATGTTCTGCAGGTTCTTTGTCGTTGTTTGCTGGAGTTACATCTGTGAAGTGGGCTCCTACTAAAGTTTCTGCACTGACCAAAATTCTAGCTCACATTAAAATCTTAGGTTCACAGAACTGGAAAAGTAAGCCAGTCCTTTCCAAATGCAGCTTGCTGGGAAACACCGTCCTGCCAAGGGCTGGGCTCCAAGAGAGAAAGCAAAAGGAGGCTGTGAGGCAGTGAGGCGGTGGGACACCAGCAGCTCATGCATGCACGTATTCTGGGTCCTGCACTCTCCTTACCCCATTTGACAGGTGACAGATTAAGTCTCAAGGCAAGAGCAAGCCAGGCAGAGCCAGGATGCACCCCCAGGTCCCGGCGTGAGACCCCTACCAGGTAGCAGCTGGCTCTCTGCGCCAAAGAGGGATCGGCTCAGTGGGGAAGATGAGACCAGGGCAGCCCCAGGAGTCAGCCCGTGGCCCGAGCACCACACACTTCCCTGCCCTGCCTGCCCCGGACATGTCTGCTCATCTCTGGTTTCCAACAAGCATTCAGGCTGAGCAGAGAATACAGAGACGGTGCTAGCAGAGGAGAGGGTAGCAAGCCAGACCAAAGGAACCTTCGGGACTTTCTGCTCAGTCACTCACCCAGTACCCACTTGTCTCCTTTGTTACTCCCACACCACAATCACTACACTTTTCAGAGAAGTAGCCATATTTGACAGATAAGGAGAACAAGGCTGGAAGGCAGGCAGGACACTGACCAGGAAGCTGGAGCCAGGGATGGCAAAGCCCTGTTTGTAGAGGTAGGCACTACAGAAGAGCAGGAACACATAGGCCTGGTGCTCCTTCCGGTACTCGCGAAGGACCTCGGAGAGTTCCTGCAGCTCTGCTAGGTCGGAAGGGAACCACAGCGACCTGGGCATTTGGAAAAATCAGATGGAAACAGGAGTCCAGATCTACCAGTGCCCAAGGATATTACTTGCTGTTTCTTTTTTTCTAAAGAAGTTTATATAAATCCCTGGGTCTGCTGGGAACACATACATAACCTGAACACATGACAGGGGACCCAATACAACAAAGGAGGCAAGAGTCCAGAGGTGGCCCTCTCAGCTACTTCTCAGCTGCGTGACCTTTTGCCTCAGTTTCCTTATCTAAAAAAGGAGACGCTGGTGCTACGTAATCACTGAACTTCACTTAACTGTTAGATTTTATGAATGACTGAGTTTTGGGGCTGGTAACTGAACCCAGGGCCTCTACCATGCTAAGCATATGTGCTGTACCACTGACTACACTCCGAGCCCCTTATGACCTATTCTTAAGAGAATTTGTTTCCAGGTAAGCACTAGAAACCTTAAACTGCCTTCTTACCTCTCCCACAAGCCAAGAACAATTCAGACTCCATCCTGCTCCCACACGAGGAAAAATGACAGCTTCACCTTCACTAACAGGCCAATTAAGGATTCTTTAGGAATTTAGCCTATGCACATTATTATCCCAGAAACGTCACTTTCTTGGGCTGGGGTTGTAATTCAGTGGTGGATCTCTTGCCTACCATTTATGAGGCCCTGGGTTCCACGCCCAGCACTAAATGAAACACAAACAAAACCCAAAACTTTCTTGCTAACATGGCTTGAAACCAACCCTCTCAAAGAACCTGCTTTTTCACCCCATCTTAATCTGGTGCTCAGGGAGGTGCTGTCCAAAGGTCACCTGGCCTCTGCCACCTGAACAACCCCGGGTCCCTCACTGATGCGGGACAAGCAGGCCCCTGGTTCTCTTGAGGATGCTTCCCCAGAGTCGGTGCCTTCTCGGGGAGGGCACCGGAGACAGCAACTCGACACGACTGTCATCACATGCCGATCTCGGCGCACCCCGACGTGCGCGCGGCGCGGGCAGGCTCCGGGCACTTCTAGGAGTCGGCGGCGATCGATCGCGGAACCGGCCGGGCAGGCGTCGTCGGCCCCGCCCAGGCGCGCTGAGCCGGGGCGCAGGGGCGAGCTCGGCTGCCGGCGCAGCTCCGTGCAGGCGCGGGCGGGATCCGTCGCCCTCACCCTCCGCTCCGAACCCCGCTCCCGGCACCCGCACCGCGCACCTGCCGCCAGGCTCCTCCGCCGAGCCGGCTCCGGGGCTTCGGGGCAGCCGCGTGGACAGCAAATACAGGGCGAAGGTGCAGCCGGCGAAGACCAGGAGGAGGCCGAGCAGCGGGCGCATGGCGGGGCCGCAGCCCTGCCCGCCGCCGGGCCTCACGAGAGCGAGTCTTGCTAGTTGCCGCGCCGACCCCTCGCCGCGCTCGGACTGCGGAGCGGAGCGCGTTCGCGGACGGACCGCGCGGAACGCTGGGCGCCAAGCCCCGCCCCGCGGGCCCCGCCCCCAGCAGGCCTCGCGGTCTGCGCGTGCGCCTCCGCGGGCCTGCGTTCCAGTTGGTCCGCGTCGGTTCCCGTAGGTCTGCGGTCGTCTCCTCTGGTCCCTGCGTCCTTCTCTACGTGTTCCGCAGGCGCTGACGGTCCTAGCGCCGCTGTGCTGGCTGAGAGGTCGCGGGCGAGCCAGAGCCGCTTTGTGGTGTGCGTCTCTCTCCGTGACACGGTCCGAGTAGCCGGCAGGTGCAGCGCCACGGTCCCGGTGATCCGTCGGGGCGGGGACGGGGGCCGCAGATGGGACCAGCTTTGCGCTTTACTCGGCGCCCGCTGCACTCCCGTTACCGCTAATCTCCACAACCATCCTGCAAGGTAGTTATTTTTGTATTTCAAGGTCTGAGCTGGGGGGTAGGGTGTGGCTCCAGCAGAGCGCTGGCCCGACGCTCGCAGGGCGCTGGACTGGACCCCCTCAAAGTAAATAAGCAAATCTGGGTTTTAGAAAGACAAAGCGGCAGGAGCAGGATAACGAGCCAAGTCACCCTGGCTGCAAACTGGTGGTTCTCAGCCAGCGTGGACTCTGGAGGGGGTGGGGTTTGAGTTTACCCTCAGGGCTCAGAATCCCCCAAGTGGAAAAAGGAGGGTGCCAGTGAGCCAGTGAGGAAGTCCCCGGAGTCTGGTTTCAGTGAAGCCCAAGAGGTTGAGGACCAACTAGAAAACCCTGTAAGGCAAGCTAAGGAACTGGGTGTTGCATTCTGTAGATGTGGGCGCCAACAGAGGTGTTGATTAAGCGTGACTCAGTTTCCTGTTTTAGGATGCTCCCCTGGGTGGGTGATTAACACCGTGCTGAGGCCACAACTGTGATGGCCCCTATGCAAAGGGTGGAAGACCATATCGGTGGGAAGGAGGTGAGGAAGATGGCTGGGGAGTTGGTAGGGCACGTGTCTGATTGAAGGGACAAAGAGGGCCAACAGCCTGGGCAACAGAACGTGCCCTTGTCCTGTCACTCAAAGCATTTCTTGGGCCAAACGGAGAGCACTTGTCAGAATTCAAACGTACAAGATCCTGTAGTTACACTTCCAAAGTGGAACCTCCAGAAGTACCTCCATAGCTATGCTAAATACACGTCCACAGCCATTCTCTCCACTTTGTTCTGAGAGTAAGAAATTGGGAATGACCTCCATGCCCATCAGCTTCAGTATTCGTGAATGGAGCCCTACTGTGTGCAGCTCCTAAAACAGAGAGGCAAGCAGTAAATCCTGATCTAGAGCAGGGGCCAGGCAGTGCATGGCCAGGGTAAAAAATCAGACAAGGTAAAGGGCGAAGAGAATGCTTTGGGCCAAGTGCAGGGGCGCACAGCTGTGAGCCCAGCTACTGAGAAGGCTGAGGCAGGGTGAGAAGTTCAAGATCTGCCTAGGCAGGTTAGCAAGACTAGTGTCAAAATTAAAAAAAAAAAAAAAAAAGGCCTGGAGATCCATTTCAGTGGTAGAGCACTTGTCTAGTCTATCTGAGGCCCTGGGTTCAATCCCTAGTACTGAACCAAAAAAAAAAAAAAAAAAAAACCACTACAGCACCACCACCACCACTACCCTCAGTATTGGGAACTGAACTCACAACCTCCAACTCGCCAGGAAGGTACTGTGCTCCTGGCTCCTTTTTAAGAAAAAAGAGGATATATTTTCTTTTCTTGGTTGTGTGTGTGTGTGTGCAGGGTCTCACTACACAGCCCACACTCAGTAGTGATCCTCCTGATTTCTGCCTCCCAAGTGCTGGGATTGCAGGCACAAGCCGCCACGCCCAGACTCCATCGCAGGCTCAGCGCACCTGGGGATGGAGCCGGCACGGCCTGCAGAGCCAGTCCGCTGAGCTATACCGCTGGCCCTTATTTTCTTTTCAAGATACTAAAAAATTTACAGATGAAACTACTCAGTGGCCAGGATTTGCATCACAGTAACACTATGCAGGTTTGGTGAGTAGAGATGTAAAAAGAACAAGACTGACCAGGACCTGATTATGGTTGGACCTGGATAATGGACATGTGAAGGTGGATTTCACACTATTATCATGTATGTTAGAAATTTTCCTTTTTTTTTTTTAATGAATTTAGGACAGGGTCTACAGGGTCTCACTACATAGATCAGACTCGTAGTGATTCTCCTGTTTTCAGCCACCCAAGCACTGTGATTACAGGTGCACACCACCGTGCTCAATCTTATTCACCGTCTCAGCATGCCCAGAGGTAAGGCTGACACAGCACGCTAGGGCTCGAGCCCCTGCCACTGCGCTCTGCCAAAGCATCTGGCCCGCCCTAGAAATTTTCCTTTTAACAAAGTGAGAGGGGTTGGGGAGATGGCTCAGTGGAATAAGCGCTTCCCTGGCAAACAAAAGGGCCTGAGTTCAATCCCCTGTTCCGCAAAAAAAAAAAAAAAAAAAAAAAAAAGAAAGAAAGAAAGAAAAGCAAAAGAAAGTGAGACATGCAGTCTCCCCACTCCATTCAGCTGAGCGTTCGCTGCATTAGTTCATGCCCCTGATGATAATCTTCCCACACTCCTTGCCTGGAAAATGCCTCTTTTGATCCACACCCAGAACAACCATCACCTCCTCAAGAAGCCTTCTGCAGCTCTCACAAACAGAAGATGGCCGGGGAGGTGGCCCAGTAGAATAAGCGTTTGGTTGGCAAGCACAAGGGCCTGAGTTCAATCCCCGGTTCCACAAAAAATAAAAAATAGAAGGCCCTGGGATGGAAAAAAAAAAAGTTTAAATAAAAAAATAAGAGTTGTTCCTTGTTTGTGCACAGAAAGAAATGTAAAGAAGACTTTAAAATTGCACTGGGGAGGACAGTGAGAGGACCCCCAAGAAGGTGACAAAGCTAGAACCCCAATGTGGGGAAGGAAGGGGTCGGCTGCAGTGGAACCCAGCCCTGGGCTTGGGATTTGGATGTACACAGGAGAGCCAGGCAGCAGGAGGCAGAGGCCAAGAGAAGATCGAGAAGGCCGTAGTGGCCACTCCCACTTCAAGGGCTATTACCTGAAATTCCCCGAAATGCATTTCCACTCCATAAGCAGTCTGCCCTTCACCCCTCCATCTGCTCCCCACCCACGCATCCAGTCCTTCCCACAGTGAGGCAGCCACTGGGCCAGGACTGTGGCCCATCAAGTTAAAAAAAAATGCATGAAATTCTGCACTCCTTGCTGCTGTTTGAGCCCCCTATTTGGGGTTAAGGGGAAGAGGACAAAAAATGACCATGCTCATCAAAACACAGGAGCCACAAAACTAAAAACAGGTCAGGACCCCACAGCATGCTGATCTCCCCCCACAAGTGCTGTGCAGTCAGGGAAGGAGGTGGTGGGGTGGCGGGCTGTCCACGTGCCAGAGAACCCGCCACAGAGCTTTGTTCCATTCAGAGCTTGTCGCCCCCTCTCTAAAGCCAGCACTGTCTTCGGTACAGAAGACAATCTGCCAACACATGACACACACGGACGTCTACGTTTATGAAATCATCTGTTCAGTTACAAGAAGGGTTGTTTTCACAGAAAGCAGTAGAAGTCACTCAGAGGAGGTGTGACACCACACAGTTCCAGACCCTAGACCTCTGGCCCCAGGGACCATCCTCCATTCCAGCCTCCTTGGCCGCCACTCTCAGGGGCCTTGGCTGTCGCTGTCATTCCAGATTCACACATCATACCTTCTTCCTGGGACACCGAACAATTCCTCCACCTGGAGGCTTCAGATGCCCCCAACAACCCATCTGTGCAAATTCCATTCTCAGCAAACAAGTGACCGCACCGTCCCATTGACCCCTTTCAACAAATGGGTGGAGTTATGTACAGCATTCTTTTTCACTGTGCACCATGCATTGCAAATGTCCTTCCATAATCCTGGATTCCACTGGCAGTAGGGAAAAATAAATATTATTTAGGGATTGCTTCAAGTGACTGGGCTGGGTGATGCGTACTAGTAGAGCAATCCCTAGCATGCGTGAGGCCCTGGGTTCCACTCCTTGCACCACAACGAAACAATAATAATCACCTTCCTCTCCTGCCGCCTGTTCTTTCCCTGCCCCCACTGCCCTCTTCCACGCCCCATGTCCCAGGGGTTGTCAGCCCTTTCCACCCCTCCAAGGTGGGAATTTGGATGAGTGGTGTCTTCCCTTCCTCCTCCCCTCAGAGCAAACAGCCCCAGGGAGACACAGGGAAAGGCTGTCCTGTCTAAGCAGGAGAGCTTGGCCGGCCATATCAAAACAAAAGCATGTTCACATCCATCACACCCCCCCCAGGTGTGGCACCCCTGGGGTTTCACAGAGACCTTCCACAGGTGCCCCCTGAGTCCGCAGCAGCCCAGCAAGGTAGGTCTGTTCCACTCCCTGCTGTGTGTGGGAAATCTGGCACAGGGCGTGGGAGTCCACAGTGTGGCCGCAGCCACCCTTCCCTTTCAGATGCTCAACCCGCAGGCTTGAGAAACAGCAGCACCGGTGACATGCAGAGAAGTGACAAGTCAGAACAAATGAGGTCCTGGGATGCCACAGACAAAGCTCCCGGCTGTTTCAGACTTGCCCTAGTTAGGGGCTGCTTTCCCGGGATTCTTTCATAACCACAAGGTCACTTGACGTTTGACAGTGTGACATTCCTAGGACACCGCTGGCAATAACCTCCAGTTCTTCCATGCCATTGGAGCAGTGAAGAAGAGGTGAAGGTCTGACAGCATATAGATGCCACCTGCTTGGCACTGGTCGCCCCTGGCCCCAGGAAGTTACAGCTGCAGTCTGGGGCAAGGAATGGGCTGGAAGACAGTTTCCACATTTTCCATCAGAACAAGGTCATAGCGGCACAGCTGCGGCCTGGGAAAGCGGGAAGAGGGCAAGATAGCCTCATCAGTGACATGACAGGAATGCCACATGCTGCTCCACTGAAGTTCATTCCATCCTTAGGATCTAGGGTTATTGAGATGTTTCAAATGCTTTAACCAAATGCTATGCTAAGGAAAAACCCAGCAACCCCAGCGCGGGATGCGAATTGTTACTTCCATGCAACTTCAGCTGGGGGGGGGCAGTGCTAGAAAGACTTGGAAAGAAAGAACCAGACACACTAGCACTGGTTACTTCTGCAGACTGACATCATGGAACAGGATTGAAAGCAAGCTTCCCTGGCCTTGAACAATCCCCCTCCAAGGCTCCCTTGGCTGCAGCTGTACAGATAAGACGATTATGACCTGTAGCACAGCCTGTGGCACTCAGTTCTCACAAGAGTTATAGGCTCTGTCATCTTTTTTTTAGATAAAGTTTCGCTACACAGTTCAGCTGGCCTGGCCTTGAGCTCACTGTGCAGCCCAGGCTGCCTTCAACCTCAAAGTGATCCCCTGCCTCAGCCTCCCGAGTGCTGGGATCACAGGTGTGGGCCACCACGGCTGGCTCTGTCTTCTTTCAGGGCTTAGTTATTGATTGCTTTTCATTGCTTTGTCCTGCTTCTATATGCCCACTTGCATCCCACCTTCACCCACCCCCAGTTTCTCTCTACTGGAAGGGCCAATCCCCTAAGCAAAACGTCTCAAAACTGGAGCCTTTCCTTTAGGGTGCACGCAGCCATCTGGAGTGTCATGAGGTGAATAAGAGCCCAGTATGAATCAAATGAAATCCTCCTACTTTTCCACACTGGTCTCTCTGATCTCTTGGATCCTGCAACTTTACGAGTGACACTTTTCCTATCCATGTCAGTATTTGCCACATTTGTATAAATAGAACGTGTATTTGCCATGTATTCCTTTGAAAATCTGGAGGAAAGCTATTTAGATGTCCCAGTTTGCTGTTGTTCATTTGTTTGGTTTGGTTTTTTGAGACAGGCTTTCACTATTGTATTCCAGGCTGGCGTTGAACCCCTAATCCTTCTGCCTCAGCCTTCTGAGTACTGGGATTACAGGTGTGCGCCACCACGCCCATCATGCTTTGATTTGACTGTCCTCTTAGAAGAAAATTTTACTATTCTTCAAAACTTGTATTATTAAATATTTTAGAGCTCCTTAAACCTTCAAGAAAAAAATTTGTAATCCTAAACCCACATCATTCTTTTTTTCCCTCCCTCCAAATTAAATCCTAGGAAAAGTGACATCACAAAATAAAGACAGTCATATACTTTTTAAAATGTCCTCTCACATACTTACTTTTCTAAACCAGCTGAAAATAATTAAATATTAAGTATGCCTTACTACTGCATGTTAAAAAAAGTTCAGTATGTATTTCTTAAGAACAAAAATATTCTCAGTGAGGGCTGGGTAGATAGCTCAGTAGAATAAGTGCTTGCCTGAGTTCAATCCCTGATACCGCAAAAAAAAAAAGAAAGAATATTCTCAGTGATAGCGTGATGGTGCACTCCTGTAATCCCAGCCCTCAAGAGGCTGAGGCAGGAGGACCCCCATGAATTTAAGGACAGCCTGGGCTATACAGCAGATCTTTGTCTCAATAAATAAATAAACACTCTCAAAGCTCTTGTCAAATTCAGCAAATTTAGCCAACTTTAACATTGCTATAATAGCAGTCTTACGCTGTCAATAGCAAAAAAGTTCAAGTTTTCTGTAACCTTTTTAAACATTAGCCTCAGCTTTATCAGTTTGCAAAATCATACAAAGCTTTCTTTTTCTGCAACAAATTCTCAGCTCACCAATAGCACAGGTGGTTAGAGAGGAACTGTGTAATTCTGAGGCTCTTACAAATCCTTTCTTCCACCTGCTGATCCTTTCTCTTTAAGCACATACCAATATAATTTTCTTGGATTACAGGGCAACTTGTTTTTGTTTTCTGTTGTTTGTTTGGTTGATTTGGGGTTTTTTTGTTTTGTTTTGAGACTGGGCCTCCTAGGTAGATTAGACTTAAACTCACTACGTAGTCCAAAATGGCCTTTAATTCACAGTGATTCTTCTGCCTCAGCCTCCTCAGTGCTGGGATTACAGGCGTGCACCTATCAGGATTATTTTTGCAAAGCTCCCCCCACCCCTGTGAATGCCTGAGAGAGGTGCTGCACACGAGCCAGCATCCTGTTACCTCTGTCGCACGGTGCCTGGGCTTACCTGTGCGGATGCGCAAGGGACCTCAGCTTCACGCGGATGACCCTGAGCTTGTACTTGGGGCCCAGCACAGAGCCTGTGGAGAACACCAAGGACACTGCTGCCACCCTGTTCAGATCTTGGTTAAATCTCGCCAGCAGGCTCACTTGGTGGTACTTCTGAAACGCGGCCGGTTCACTAGGAAGCGATGACATTGTTAGGTGAGCACAGGCAGCCGGTGGGGGCAGGTTGGCCTCGAATGCACACTGACCCTCCTCCCTCAGGCCTCTGGATGCTGGGATTGCAGGAATGCACCACCACACCCCAGTGAATTGTTTTACAGTTTAAAACACACAGCCACTGCAGGACACTGAAAACTAAAAAGAAGCTTTTAAAAATCATTCCTACTGCCACAATCCAAAAGGCAATCTAACGCTTTGGCATGTTTCATATTTTTACAGTGTTGAGCTAATTTTATACATACGGCTTCTATCTAGCTGTCCTAAACCCCCATAGTTTATGGGTGCAGCTTCTGGAAGGTGGCTGACTCAGGGGTGTGTGGTGCTGGGATGAAGAGTGGGCGATAACTAATTGGTGCAGCATAGTTCTAGGAGTGGACAGTGCAAGGCCCTGGGTGCGGGTGGCACCAGTCCACACATGTGAAGCCTGGATGCACTATGCAGGGACGAAGGAAGGAAGCCCGCTGCTCACTGCCTGCTGCCTCCTGCCTACCCTGCCACGGACCGTTTCCACTCTGCAGTGCCGCTCTGCCACACCACCCTGCCTTGTAGCCAGCTGACTGAACTGAAACCTCCACAAAGCCATGAGTCACAATAAATCTTTCCTCCTTTAACTCTGAGTGTCAGCTATTTTGTCTCAGCAACAAGAAGAACAACAAAGACAATACATATGTAATTTGTTATTCTAATATTTAAATGATAGAACAACAAAAAAAGGGGATACAGATGAATGTCCATTTGGTATCTGTGTATTCAAAGTGGTTAGGATAGATACATAGTTACATTCTCTTAATGAACAGAGCGATTTGTTCTAATGGTGTTTGCAAATAGGATATCATGTCCGCATCTTGTATAACAATTAACCACTAGGAAGAATGTATGCAATGTGTTAATTATTGAAACTGTCCTACCAATTTGGTTTGAAACTGTCTCATTGCTATTTGTTTCTCAATAAAATTATGGAAAAAAAATTTGTTATTCTACATTTCATTTGTATAAGCTTGTACTTCGTATGTGTCATAAAAACTTCAATGTATGAATATTCTATTACATGGAAATATTTAGCCACTTTCCATTGTTGGATTGAGGGGGTATATTCTTCCCCCCTCTAAGTTTTTTTTTTTAATGTTCAGAATTGAGCGCATGGCCTTTTCTGAGCTACATCCGCAGCCCTTTTTATTTTTTATTTTGAGCCAGGGTCTCACTAAGTCACTAAATTGCTCAGGCAGGGCTTGAATTTTGAGATCTTTATGCCTGCTGTGGTTTACATCTAGAGTATCTCCCCAAACTCTCAAGTGTTCAGAGATGGGGCTTTTGGAAAGTTAACGGGGTCCTGGGTGGTGGTCTTCAAAGGGTTTGTCTAGAAGTGCAGCAGCTGAGCATGTGGTTAGGAGCTGGGTCCCAATTAGAGGTGGGTCACTGGGGCTGTGACTTGGAGGGCGTATCCCCCTCTCTGGCCCCCTGGCCAGTCTGTCTGCCGTCTTGTCTCCTGTCCTTTCTGATCACACTGATGTGCCCACTTTTTTCTGTGACCTTCTGTCGTGTTGTTCTGCCTCAGAACCACCAACTATAGATCAAAGCTGTGAGTTAAAATAAACCCTTCTGAGTTTTGGGTAGCCGGAATTCTGTCCCAGCAACAAGGAAGTGACTAGGACACTGCCTCAGCTTCCAGAATGCCAGGATTACAGGTATGCACCACCACAGCCGGCTAGCATTTCCAATTCTTACTGGAATTTATATTTTCTGAGTTTCAGAAATGTATCTATATAACACATACATGTATGTGTTACATTTATGCTACATTGGTTTATATATGTATATTATGGGCTCAGAAATATGGGTAGGCATGGCAGCGCACACCTATAATCCCAGCACTCAGGAGGCTGAAGTAAGAGTATGAGGAGTCCAAGAACAGCCGGGCTACCTAGAAATACGTACTCAGTAGAAGCCTGTTGCCTTGGAGTTGGGGCTGTGGAGAGATGTGAGCAAGGATGTACATTTTTTATGTGGAATTTCTCTTAGATTTATAAATTAACCTTATTTTTGGTTAACAAATTATAATCATACACATCTGAAGTATGGATCTCTGTATATAATGTGAAATGACTAAATCCACCTATTCCTTGATTTTTAGAACTTTACAGTAAATAAGAGTAACTTTGTCATTAAATGTTTAACCCAAGGAGGTAAGAAGGAAAAGAAGACAAGAAAGAGGTAATAGATTGGAGAGAAGGGAGGAAGGAAGAAGGAAAGAAAGCCTGGGCTCCAGCTACAGAGAGCCTGGGAAGTCAGGAACCAGGGGCAGTAACTAAGTAACATCCTCCCTGCTGTCTTCTGCAGAAAGGGGGGCAGTTATGAACATATGAACAGGATGTAATTTCTCAAAGCAAAAGGAGAAAAAGTAAACACAATCTATTGCCGCTCAACGTACTGATCGATTTTAGACTCGGTGGTGTTTCCGTCTTTGTCTCTCAACTTGATTGTGATGGACCCTCTTCTTACATTCTTGTTCCAAGATATAATATCCACAAAGTAATGATATACTGCCAAACAAGGAGAGAACGTGGTGAGACAGGCACACCGCCGCCCACCACTTCCCAGAGGAGTGATTCCCATGTCCCCAGCATCTCTAACAATCGAATGGCCTTTCTTCTAGAGCTTCTCTGTGGCAGCCTTTCCCACCATCCCTTTCTCTTCTCTCTGCACCCATGGTAGGAGAGATGGCCAAGCTCCATGGTATCCCCACACCACGTTCAGACACCATGGGTTCCTGCCCTCCCTGGCCCTCAGACTCAATCCCCCTCCTTTCTTGGGGTCTCGTCCACTCTAAGCTCCCTCCTCCCAGTGTCATTCAGCACCTTAACTGTACGTACAGATCACAAGAGAAGTACCGACTAAAGTGGTAAGTCTCTGAGCATATCTGCATAAATACTGTCTGAATAACTGGATTTTATAAAAGAAAACGTACTACTAAAAAAAAAATGTACTACGAGGGGCTATTACTCCCCTTTATAATCCCAGCAGTCACACCCATCTAGGCTCCCAGCAAGTCCTTACTGAATAAATGAGACAGGAGTTTTCCGGACAACTGCCTACTTCCTTACCACTTGCTTCCCAACGACAAATGTGTTTTGGAAAGATGGGGTCCCCTGGTGATAGTCTGATTTACCATTTCTTGGTCAGACTTGCTGGGAAATAGAAAAGTGTTGGGGAGATGACGGTGTCACGAAGGAGCCAGGCCAACCCTGAAGCTGCCAGTTTGTGGCTCACTATTGCTCTGTGGCTCATCCCTCGGGGTCCAGGCAGAGGCCAAATCCTGGGCCACCATGTATGACTCCGAAGGAAGAAGGAGACCCAGGCATCTGCCACCTTTTATAAAACAGCTGCACCCAAGAGAAGTGCAAAGGGAGTACCAGATTGCAAGACAGAAATGCATCTGCCCAGGTGAATCTTCACTACATCCCAGGACAGTCATCTGCTGCCCTAATTGGCTCCCATCCTAAATGCTCCGCCTCTGGAGGCCTTTACGTCGTCATGGTTGCTATGGAGCTGGAACTGATGCAGGAGATGTCCTGCCACCTGAATCTGTCTGGCCCCTATTTCCTGCCTCTTGAGGAATCCAGTCATTTTTTAGTGATGACAGTGACTATTCCATGATGCTCATGATCCTGGTTTATTGATACTTTAACCCTATATAAACCAGAAAATAATCCATTGTTTTCTCCATCTTACCAGTCAGGACTGAGGACTTAAGTGACTCAACCAAGGTCACACAGCTATTATGTGACAGGATCAGGATATTACCTAGCCCCTTTCCAGCTGCAAACTCCAAGCTCTGCTACAGCCTTCATTTGCCAAACAGCAGCCAGAAAGCAGACTCAGCTATGCCCAAGAGGAGGAGGGGGTTGGACAAAAACAACAGACCACAGTCACCACTCACTGCAGAAGGGCTTCTGCTCAGCCGTGTCAAAGAACGCCTTCGTCGACTGAAGACCCTTCCCCCTTGAATAGCCTTTCCAGAGATCAGCATAATAACCTTTAAAACAAGTTGCAGATGCCCATCATTAACATGCCCAGTATAATGGTGAAAGCACCCGACTCAGTGAGAAAAGTAAGCTTGCCTGATGGCAAGCTCGAGGTTGTGAGTTTGATTCCTAGTACCAAAAAAGAAAGAAGGAAGAAAGGGAAGAAAGGAAAAAAAAAAGGAAGGAGGGAGCAAAAAACGAGAGAAAAAGAGAAAGGAGAGAGAGAGAAAAGAAGGGTAAGCTTGCAACCACGGAGGAGTCAACCTCTTCTCCCCTCCACCTCCCATGGTGAGGAGCCCTGGGTCACCAGGAAACCCTTCCTAATAGCTGCCTCCCACCCTAGCAGCTGGGGTGTAAAAGAACCCTACAGTGGCAGTTCCCCCTTTACTGGCTCTCAGTAACACAGTACACACTGATGTGGACCAAAACTAGCACTGATGTTTTTTGGTTATACAATTGTTTTCTACATTAAAACAGATTTCGACTTATCTCTAAAATAGCATCATTATTGCAAAGCACTATACTTTTTGCTAGGGAGTGATATGGAGAACCAAACCCAGGACCTTGTGGCTGCGAGGTACGTGTCCTACACTGAGCTGCACCCCAGCCCCTGTGCATTCTTAAAAGGCTACCATTAGGCCCCAAATCTGTACAGAATGTGGCTTTGCCATGCGACTGTCACGGGGCAGGTGACTCTCCCTCCTTGCAGGAGGCAGGTGAGGGCTGTCCAGTGGGCCTCTTCCCTCCTCTGCCCTAGAGAATTCTTGCTCACTCAACCTGGATAGGGCCCAGGCATCGGGATTTTTTTTTTTTTTTACTTATTTGCTTTTTATTGAAACCCCTTTTAACTTGTAAAAAAGAAAAACAAAATCTATGATAAAATAATTTTCATGGATTCTGTTGTTTCCCTACTTTTAGAAGGCTACTTTCACCTTACTACACAGCCTTCACGGTAAAGTATAAAGCTACCTCAGTTAAGTGGCCTTTTCTGAACAAAAGCATCCCCCTATATATGATAAAAAATCAGCCGTGCATGGTGGTGCATGCCTACAATTCCAGCACTTTGGAGGCCAAGGCAAGAGTTATCACTCCAAGTCTAACATCAGCCTGGGTGGTGAGTTCAAGGCAAGGCTGAACTAATTACACAGCAAGGCTCTATCTTGGGGGCAGTACTTTTTAAGAATGCCCTGGCTGCTTCTATGTGCAGTCAGGCTGCACTTGTCTGTAACCTGCCCTGTTACTGTCTTGCATTTTTTTCCTTTTGGAAAAAATGAGAAAATTCTCACGGTCACCCAGCTTCAAAGTCCTGACTGCCTAGAGCATCCCCACTGACCCCTAGCAAATGAGCTCATGCAGAGTGCTCTCCCCAGCCCTAGCCCTGCGGGCACAGGAGCACCAGGGTGCATGATGGGAACAGGCACAGCCTGCTGGCAGGGAGCACTGTGCAAGGCCACGCGACTGGAGAGTCCCTGGCTCTGTGAACCGCTCCCAGGGGAGACTGTGTGCACAGGGCCGGGTTGAGTAAAGTGGTTGCACCCTGGGGCAGCTTGGGAACGCTCCGTGGGAACCCCAGTATTGCAGGATAGAGGAAGGCTGCACTGCTTTCTGGGTAGAAACATGTCAGATTGCTTTTGTAACACTGTTGAAAAGACCAGAATGCTTCAAAGGACAAAGTGACTACAGACAGCTAACTAGATACATGGGGTGGAGGGATATTTAGATAATAAAACAGTTCTGGGACTTGTACCAAAGATGAGCAAGCTCTAATTCATCAGAAAGGGACACTGCTTATCGGACATACCCACAAGGGGACAGGGCTCCGTGTGCGCTGTGCCACAGTTGACGCATTTGCCGTTCCTGTAATCCCTGTAGGAGTCACAGGGATACGCGATGACGTCACAGTCTCTTCTCAGGGAAGCCAGGAACAGGTACACGGACCTCTGGTGGTCGCACTTGAAATACCGCATACCTGGGGTGAGTAGAGCAGTTGGAGCCGCTCATAGAAGCACGGCACACACTGTGCACACACACAATTCACGTCTCCAGCACGCCCCCGGGCACGCACTCAAAAGCGTCAGCGTGCTTGGGCCCCTTCTGTCCTTGTAAAAACACACAGATGGAGCTTCACACTGGCAAGCGGCAGGAGAGGAGGCTAAACTAGATTAGGTCACGGCAGGAATGAAAGCAAATATGCTTTCATTAAAGACCTTGAGGGCCAGGCACACAGGTGCACGCTCGCAATCCCAGCTACTTGGGAGGCTGAGACAGGAGGATCACAAGTTCCATATCAGCCTGGGCAATTTAGCAAGACCCTGCCTCAAGACAAATTTAAAAGGCTGGAAGTGTAGCACCCTAACAGAGTGCATGCCCAGCAGGCACAAATGATTGTATCTTCAGCACCACCAAAAGAACCCCTGGCTGTTGCTAGCACTTGATGTGTCTTTCATTGTCATCCGATGTTTCAGCCACAGTTATCATCCTTATTAAAATACACAGCTCAGGGCCAACCTCAGCTATTTCTAATTCAGACAGGCTCAGGAATTAGATTTGGGGGCCCAGCATTTAGCTCAGAGGCTCAGTGCCTGCCTGGCAAGCATGAGGTCGAGTTTGATTCCCGCTCCCCCTCTCCTGAAAAAGGAATTAGCATTTTAACAAACATTGCTGCCCCCATCTGATCCCGATGATGTGCGTCTGAGAGCTCAAGGTCTGAGGTGCAAGGCCGCTTTGCAGACCAAATACTGTCCACGCTGTGTCTGCCCACCAGGAGTATGGCCACCTGCTGTGGCAGTGGACCTCTCTCTAAAGAAAATGATAAAGGAGCTAGAGGGTGGCGCTGGGTGGTAGAGCATTGTCCTAGCCTGTGTGAGGTCCCCAGCCCTGGGGGACAAAGGTCTGGTCAAGCACTTCCCCGGTCTGCAGCAAGCTGGCACTAATGATTATGAACTGCTTGGGGCCACATCAAGAGCAGCAGAGCCCGGCCCTGGGCAGAGAGCAGGCGGGCAGCCAAGGGAGATAAAGCGAACAGCTGCTCCACGGTTGCCAGGTGCTGTTTGGTTTCTGGGCGGTGCTGGTCTGTGATAACCACCTGGAGGGTGTGGAGTGCTCACACACTGCGTTTCACTGAGCCTTCCATGTGGTTTTGATGTAGGCTGAGGATTGTGAACCACTGCTGTGCCACAGAACAGAGGCTGGCAGGAGGGTGGCAAGTTCCAGGTCAGCCTGGGCAACTTAGTAAAACCTTGCTTCCAAATTTTACAAATTGTAAAAGGATTGGTGATGTAGCTCAGAGGTACAGAGCTTGCTTAGCATGTGTGAGGTCCTAGATTCAGTCCCCAGTAGTGGGGGTGGGGAAGGGTCACCAGAAACAGAAGAAAGGGAAGGGGGACGCCTCTACCCTGGGTCAGGAGGAATGTGAACATGAACGTTGGTCTCAGGAACTCAGAAAGAGAGAAAATGGCTTTCTGAGATGGGGCAAAAGTCAAATCTAGGGCACCTGCAGGAGGTGAGGGTTCCCCCTAGCAAGATACCTGAGTAGGAGAGCCTGTGGCTGAGGGCTCCAAGCCTGCCTGGGCCTTTACCTCACCCGTGTGGCCTCAGGCCTTCTGCAACCTCCCGAGCAAACAAGGGACTTGAGGGGCTTCTTTGGCAGAGACCTGAGGGGCTGGGATCCAGCTGAGTGGCCAAGTGGCTGGTGCTCTTTCTGCCACAAGGGTAAAGCCCAGGAAGTGGCCCTCAGGCCATGAAATAGCAAGAGCGGGGCAGGGGCTGCCATATTGTGCGACTGAGGACGTGTGGTCAGGAGGTCAGAAGAGCCGGAGAGGAGGAGGAGCTGCCGATGTCGTAGCCAGACGGGCACTGCACTCCCCAAGTGGGCAATCGAGGGGGCAGGAGCTGAAGGGAAACAGCAGAGCCGTGCGACAGGAGCCGTGGTCACGGGCGAGAGGTCTGGAGGGGCCCAGGCACTGGAATCAGACCAAGGCTCCAATCCGGCACCACCGCACATGCCTGTAGAAGTGACCAGAGCAGGACAGAGCAGGTAAACTAGGGCAGTCGGGGGCCTGCAAGGGACTGGGGCCATTTGTACCATGATCCCCTGTTTTTCTAGAATTATCCCCACGTTGTCTGACTTTTCCAGCAGCAGTGAAGTAGAAGTCCAGCACTGGCCATAGGGTTTTTATATTCTGCCGACACACATTTTTTAAAAAGATATATATTGACATAGGATCACACTACGTAGTTCAGACTCTTAGTGATCCTCCTGTCTCAGCCTCCCGGCTCTGAGACTACAGGCGTGCACCACAGTGCCCGGTTCTGGGGATTGAACTGGGGACCTCAGGCTCACAAGGCAGGCTGTTATGCCGCTGAGCTAGCGCCCATCTGTGCCCACACACTCTGACATTCCACCCCAAATCCCTGTTTTGGTTTTGTGGTCTTTTCCTCCTCACTGCCACTGTCATGTGCACTCACCCGGTTAGTTCTATTCTTTTTTTTTTTTTTTGGCAGAACTGGGGATCGAACTCAGGCCCTTGCGCTTGCCAGGGAAGCGCTTATTCCACTGAGCCATCTCCCCGGCCCTGGGTTAGTTCTTTTCTGATGCCTGCACACACACAAGCGTGCATTGGAAATGAGAAGTAGATGAACTGGGGCCTGGGTGCGTCTCAGAGAGAGCACTAGCCTAGCAAGGCCAGGTCCCAGGCCAGCTGGCCAGCCCGGAGGGACAGACAGAGGCGCAGGCGGAGACAGCAACTGAGATCTTGTTGGATGGGTTTATGTTTTGCTCACTTAATGTCATTAATTTTTGAAAATATGATTTATAACACATATTGCTTGTGTGGGGGAACCGTAATTCATTTAATGATTCCCTTGTGTTAGACATTTAGATTACCTCTAAAACCTTATTATAAATAATGCTCCGTTGGACACGTTTGCCCTCTAATTTCTTGTCTACATTTCTCAATTATTTCTCTATGACATTTCCAGATATGGAATCTTTAGCTCAAAGACATGATATTTCGAAGAGAAAGAGAAATAAGAAATGAAGCAAAATAGCTTTTAATCATATGCCTTTTTTTTTTTTTTCTGGCTCAGCCCACCCTGGGGGCAGGGCTTCCCAGCATGTGGTGCTTGGGGGGATCGAACCATGGTCCCTGTGCTTTGCCTAAGCTTGCCTAAGCATGCCTAAGCAGGCACTTTAGACCACTGAGCTATCTCCAGCCTCTATAATTTTTTTAAAGTAACATTTTTGAGTTATGATTTTTAATTTATATTTATTGATACCACCTCCATCTTCAGAAATTCATTTTCTGTCCAGAGAACCTTATCTTATGTAGGATAATTTTTTTTTCACTACCATCATCAAAGCCTTCTTTTACAAAATACAAACCATCTGCACTTACCTCCAAATATTGTTTTGGGACAACCAGGTTGATCTAATCCTCCATTTGGGTAGAAGTCTATGTTTCCCAGTGGTTCCTTATAGCCCAGTGCTGAAAGAAAACACATTATGCTTTCATATGGCTTCAAACTTTTCACAGGCCATAGCTCATCTGTCTGCAGGACAAGGGCAGGAACTGTATTCTCACCACGACTGTCATTGTTGCCATCATCCTTTTTATACCCACTTAAGTGTTTTGCCCTAAGGCACCCAGCTAGTTAGTTAGAAAGCAAGCTACAAATTCTACCACCATCTGCTACATTTTGGGTCCTAAGTGTCACCAAGAGACCCAGTGTTGAAGGCGTGGTCCTCAGAGTGGTGACACTGGGAGGTCACCACCACTTAGAAAGAAGTGCTACGTCATGGAGGGGGTGCTCTCCCAGGGGGCCCCATCCCTCCGCTTCCTCTTCAAGTCCTGGCCCTGAGGTGAGCAGCTGGCCCCCTGGACACCTTCCCACCATGATGTGTTCCTTTAGCCCAGGCCTAAAAGCACAGGCTCCACCCCACCCCACCCCCACCATGGACTGGATCCTCCAAAACCATGAGCCGAAATAAACCTCTCCGTAAGTTGATTGTATCAGGTGTTTAGTAGAGCGACGGATTGTTGTGCCATTGCTAGGTGAGTGGAAAACTGGTCATAATATTTAATTCCACTCTTTCTAAAGACCTAAGGGAGTTGGATCATTCATTCACCACAGGCTACTCAAAATGATACATTTCTCCTTACATTTTGCTGGAACTCTTTAATTGTGGGGTGCTTTCCACTTGCATTTGCATAAGCCTTTAATTGATAACAAGAAAACGTGGATTTTTACTTACTGTTTAAGCATTTTTGGAGTCCAAGATAATAGTAATAACAAACACTTCTAAAATATAAGGCTATAAAAATTGGGGCTGGAGAGATGGCTCAGTGGTCTAAAGCACCTACTTGGAACAAGCTTGGCAAAACACAGCAACTGCAGTTCGATCCCCCAGCACCACATGCCAGCCAGCCCCGCTCAATGGTGGGCTGAGCTGGCTACACACACACAATAAATAAATGTAATAAACAAATAAATAAATTTTAAAAAAATATTATAGGACCAGGGTTATGGCTGAGGGGTTAAGTGCTTGTCTAGCAGGCTTAAGGTACTGGACTTGATCCCAGCACCACCAAAAAATCAGAGCTGCTAGTACACGAGGAGAGGGTGGGAGGACTACTAGGTGCCACTTCGGTGGGCTGAGGGTGTAGATCTGAGTTACAGCACTCGCCTAGCACTTGAAGCCCCGGGTTCCATCCCAATGCTGCAAAAAATAAACACATACACCAGCAGATATTGAGTTGCACCAACTTGGAAGACTGAGGTGGAGGAATTACCTGAGCCTGGGCATTTGAAGCAAGCCTGGGCAGCACAGTGAGAATCTATCTCAAGGGGGAAAAGATTATACCCAGAGCTAATAACTGCTTATCTTCTTTAATGGTGTAATGCAAAAATAATGAGCAAAATTCTTGATTAAAATATTCCTGAAATATATGTATACACATATATGCAAAGTACATTGTGCTAATACTACATTGTGGTAATAACAGTAATAGTTACTGTATCTTGACATCCCACGTGTATTATTAGGTGTCTCACACTTTGCCTCTGATTTTTTCAATATCTAAAAAGTAGCCACTGGTAAATTCAGAGGAAAACATGTAGGCTCAGAGACATAAGAAACTGCCCTGATAGCACCAGAGAGCAGAACGTGGGACCTCAATCCACGTGAGCTTGACTACAAAAGTTAGACTCTTTCCTTCAAGGTGCACTTTCTAATGCCAGATGTGGCGGCACATGCCTGTGTCCCAGCACTCAGGAGGCTGAGACAGGAGGATCACTTTGAGTCTGAGCTGCATAGCAAGACCCTGGGCCAAATAAATAAATACATAAAAGATTTTTTTTAAATGCCCTCCTCTAAAAACGTTACTTTCCAAGAATAAAATGGAAATTGCTTGATTCCATTAAACATTCAAAGATAAGTAAGGTATGGATTAAAGCCCCTGCTTAGGCAGATGCAGGGACGGGGTTCCATCCCCAGCGTGCAGTGCTGGGTACTGAAACAGCAAATGTGACTGGGCGTGGTGGCGCACACCTGTAATCCCAGCACTTGGGAGGCTGAAAACAGGAGGATTACTATGAGTCCAATCTGTGTGATGAGACCCTGTAGACCCTGTACTAAATACATAATAAATAAATAAATAAATAAGGTAATGCTTTGCAAACAATTGACAAACAATTGCAAAATACCACATCAGTGCACCTGTGACAGCATCAGGAGTGTTTTGTTTTGTTTTGTTACAGTCAAACTCTCATGCATGCATGCCAAGCAAGCGTGCCACCACTGAGCCATCCCCAGTACTGGGCCGGGCATATTCTGGGTGTTCACAGCACCAAGACGATGTGCCATTCATTGACCACACATTCATCCCCTCTGCTCATCAAGGCCCCACTCCAGCTCTTCTCCCAGGCTCAGGCTATGGTAGACACCCGTCCTTGGCCATCACTCCAGCCCATGTGGCATGGATGCAGTCCCAGATGTGGATTTAGCATCACACAAGGCAGAGCTGGGTGCTGAGGTAGGCCGGAGCTGCTCCGGGGACAGAGGTGATACTTCAGTTTTTCTCTTAGCTAAAGGAAATCATGGGAACCAAAAAATGTCCCCACAAATCCAGCTGCACATGTGCAAATCTGTGTGCACAGGTGTACAAACCAGCCTTCCTCGACTGGGCAAGAGGGTGGCTTTAAAAATAAAATGTAAGAAGGGACAATGGGAAAATCATGCCCAACCCAGCATACCATCCCGGGGGCTGGCACAGCACCAGCTTCCCTTCAGGGACTCTGTGGGTTTGGAACCCTGCCCTGTGGGAGACAGGGGAGCTGAAGGAACTTGCTCAGTCCCTGCATGACGATTCCCCTGCGGGAGACTCTGGGAGTGTAGGGCCTGGGACCCACAAGGACAGGGCTGTTACCATTGATGTCAGAGTGGATGACGTCCACGAACTGGGCATCACTAGGATCTAATCTGTCCTCAGGAGGCTTCTCGTTGAATAAAGGGCCTGCAGGGTCAAGACCTGGAAGGAAAACAGAGTGGTTTGGTGGCTCCACGCCCTGAGTCACCCCACTGGGCCTTTGATCCCCCCCAGTGAGGACGCGCACAGAGGAGGCGCCTCAGGTGGGCTCAGGCCACGTTCCCACGCTGCTTGCTTCCTCGGGGCTCCTCTCAGCAGGCTGTAGCTCTTTCCCACAGTGCAGACGCTACCCGGTGGTGCCCTTGAGCAACACGGCAGGGCTCAGCAGACAGTGCTCATATGTGGGGGGGCGGGGGAGGAGAGGACAAAGGAAACGGGTTCCCTAAGAAACAAGCACCACAGCATGCATGACGGAGAGCGAGCCCAAGCTGCATGCTGCGCTCCCATTTTGGATGATTCTGTTGCCCACTCAGCCTGTCCCTGCTAGCTGTAAATCTCGTGCATAGTTTCTACTTTTGCTCATACCTTATCTCAGTTGCAGGGTACTGCAAATGCGTCGGGGAGAAGGGGTTAGCACCTGCGATTCCCACTTTACACATGAATCCGCGGAGGTCCAGGGAGACCAAACAGCTAGAGCAGAAACCAGCCTCCCAGCACAGCCTCCTCTGTCTGCTGAGCCTTGATTTCCCTGTGCTGACTTTAGCAAGCTCAGCAGGGAAGAACAGAACTCAGCGGCCAGGCCAGGTGTCATAAAGGCATCCGTCCCTGCGGATAACACAGAAGGACCTCCTCCTCAAGGCCTGCTCTGATGTCTTGCCCTTAGGATTAACTGGACAATGACTACTGTCATGAAGAAGCAGCTGGAAAATAGGAGAGCAGCTCCTGTGACTGAAACCACAAAATAAAACCTCACAAAAAGAGGATTAAAAAGACCCAACTTGCCAGAGTCCCATGTGGAAAGAAAAAGATTTCTAGGAATATCTCCCTCGTAGCTGTAATCTATAAATGCCATCTTATTTTATTTTATTATCGGTTTTGATGCTGGGGACCCAATCCAGGACCTCATACAGGCTAACCACATGTGCTGCCACCAGATGACGCTTGTGGTCTCTGTGACCAGCACTGTCTCCCGGACCAGAATGTTACTTATAAAATCTGAAAGACAGTGTCTTGCCCTCAGCTTTTCTGGCTCTAGCTCCAGTATTTCCATTTCTCCTCTCCCAGTGTTCTTCTGCTTCCTGGAGGCATTTATTTATCTCTCTGCCTCTTCCTTTATCTCCTCTGGTCTCTCCCTCCACCTTTCTCCCTCTTCCGCCCACTCCCAACTGAAACTTCTGTGGGAGGAGGTGAGCCCCGCCCAGGCGTGAGTCCACGCTCTCCTGGCCCAACAGGAAACACTGCAGGGCCTTGGAAAGACCTGACCCACAGCTGCCCCTCCCATGCTGGCCAGCACCACTTTCTGTCTAAGAAGATGACACTGAGTCACAGGGACAGCAACCTTAAGATGCTTGGGAGATAAACCGTCCACCCTAGGGCAAGGCACAACCAACCGTCGCGACCCTCGACTTGTGACACCCACGGTGACAAGCCATAGTAAATGATCAACCAAAAATTGTAGAAAGAGCTTTTTACCAAGATGGCGCCGAAGGCAAAGAAGGAAGCCCCTGCCCCTCCCAAAGCTGAAGCCAAAGCAAAAGCTTTGAAGGCCAAAAAGGCCGTGCTGAAAGGCATCCACAGCCACAAAAAGAAGAAGATACGAACGTCGCCCACCTTCCGCCGTCCCAAGACGCTCCGGCTCCAGAGGCAGCCCAAATACTCTCGGAAGAGCGCCCCCAGGAGAAACAAGCTTGACCACTATGCCATCATCAAGTTCCCCCTGACCACATGAAGAAGATTGAGGACAACAACACACTCGTGTTCATTGTGGATGTCAAAGCCAATAAGCACCAAATCAAACAAGCTGTAAAGAAGCTCTATGACATCGATGTTGCCAAGGTCAATACCCCTAATCAGGCCTGATGGAGAGAAGAAGGCATATGTTCGACTGGCTCCTGATTATGATGCATTGGATGTTGCCAACAAAATTGGGATCATCTAAACTGAGTCCAGCTGGCTAATTCTAAATATATACTTTTTTCTCAAAAAAAAAAAAAAAAAAAATTGTAGAAAGAGTGCCCCCCCCAAACATGCATAATCTGTGTGAGCAGGCAGACGGGGAGCCCCAAAGCCAGCCCTAAACTGCTGTGTGGTGTAGGCAGGAGGCTTTACTTCTCTGAGCCTTGGTAACATGGAGGTGGCACTAATGGCTACTTCAGAAGACTCAGCAAAGCACTCCTGAATCTAATCCAGACATTCTGACATTACTATAGCAGAGAAGACGAATGGAGATGCGGCGCTCACTCCTCCTGCTCTAAGATCATCAGGGTCGAGGTAGTGGTCCTGGGTTTTTACTGCAGTATTGACTGGTTTGAGATTTGATGAAAGCTCTGGCTGCCTCCCCAGGAAGCTGTCTCACATCCTGCACGCAGCCTCTGGGGCCTCTGGCTTGCATCAGAAGGTCCCCAGGTGCCTCTCATGAGGCACCACTCCTCCATAGACATTTTAATGGGAGCCACATTTCCATCAAATTTTCTAGTTAGCCACCTAAACAATAGAAAGTTAATTTTAAGAATACTTTTGGGGGGTCCTGGGGATTGATCCCCAGGTCTGTGCACTGAGCTATATTCCCAGCCCATTTTTCAAACTTTTTGTTCTGTGACATTTTTGCTAAATTGCTAAATGGCCTAATCTGGACTCAGATTTATAATCCTGCTTCCACCTCTCAGAGTGGTGGGATTACAGGAGGGCACCACCCTGCCTGGCAAGAATCCATTTTCTGTAAGCCAGTGCACTATACCCAAGGTGATATGACGTCAATGTAATCCATAAAAGAAAGTCAGGCTTTCTATGTTTCAGCTTGTGGTGGCCACTTTGCAAGTGCTAGAGGACACATTTGGGTAGTGGCTACTGCTCCATTTCTCAAAGTGTGGGATTCAGACTACATGCACCATCTGTTAAAAATATGGATTTCTGAGCCAGGGAGATAGCTCAGCAGTCTAACCACCTGCCTGGCAAGCACACAGTCCAGAGCTCAATCCCCAGTGCCATATGCCATGCCAGCCACTGAAACCGGGCATGGTGGCGCAAACCTATAATCCAGCCCTGGCGAGACTGAGACAAGAGGACCACTATGAGTCTGAACTGCGTAGCAAGACCCTGTACCAAATAAATAAAAAACTAAAAATATGAATGCCTGGAGATGGCACTATGGCTCAGTGGCAGAGCACACCCCTAGCACCTAATAAGTAAACAGGATACAAATGAGAAGTAAAGGCAGATGTGCCTGGAAAGGAGGAGCAGAAGAATGGAAGAGAAGAAGCAACCACCAAGGCCTAGAAGCAGCAGACAGGCCCATCCAGGGTGGGGAGTTGGGTAACAGGCCACGTTCTCACGCTACAGTCCAGGGAGCCCATCAAGGCAAAGCAGAGGGAAGGCGGTGGGGAGGAAACTGTGCGGCTTCTGGAGATGCTCAGGGGGACATTGAGACTGATCGCGGGGCTCAGAGACATGAGGGATTTAACAGGCCACGGAGAAGTCGGTGGAGGAAAAAGTTGGGCTGAGTCCATTGGCTGAGTCCTGGCCACAGAGGAAGCTGCGTGAGCCAGAGTGGAAGGAAGGTTGGCCGGGGAAAGCTCCAGGGCCAGAGAGTCCTACTCGTATTCACAGCAGCTGTGAGGACAGGCTTCCTGCGGGACTTATTAGCGAGCCTAGGGCAAAGGCAGAAAAGGTGGTGGTGGGCTGGGAGCAGATTTACCTATCTCTGCCCAAAGGCTGCGCTTGGTGACCTCAGGCTGGTAGCCTGAGATCAGTCACAGAGGGGGTTTTACACAGCGGAAATCAGCAAAGGCTACTCATCAGGTTTGTTTGTTTGTTTTTTGAAGAACTGGTCTACTTCCAAGTACACCACTGGGAACATCTCTCCCACCAGAAGAGGAATTGCCAAAAGTCAAGGACATGGACAAGCCTGAGCCATCTGGCCTTTCTCCATGAGGGAAATGTTTAAAAAACAAAGACACAGGGGCCAGGAAGATGGCTCAGTGGAATAAGCGCTTCACTGGCAAGCGCAAGGGCCTGAGTTCAATCCCGGGTTCCTCAAAAAAAAAAACAAAAAACAAAGACACAAATGATGCTTTGTAAAACATAGTTTTCGAAACTGAAAAGTATAGGGATACCTAGTCACTTAATAAGACACAGGCTCGGCCTTTGGGTGAGGGTGAGAGAAAGATCCGAGACAAACAATGAATGGGACCTCAAGTACCAGGGCTAGAGGAACGGCCAGCCAGTGTGTGTGTGTGTGTGTGTGTGTGTGTGTGTGTGTGTGTGTGTGTGTGTGAGAGAGAGAGAGACAGACAGACAGAGAGAGAGAGAGAGAGAGAGAGACAGACAGACAGACAGACAGACAGACATAGACAGACAGACACAGACACAGACAGAGAGACAGAGATGGACACAAGAGTCACAGAGAAAGACATGACTTCCCAGGGCCCAGAGATGACTTGCCAAGCTGCCAAGTTTAAGTGGCACCTTCCCACTCTTCCCACTTGAGAGGCCCTAAAAAAGGACATCCCAAATCTAATTGATGAGAGCCTCAGAGCTCTCCCCTCCCTCCACCCACTTCTACCTTTCCAATTCTCCCTAGGTGTACAAGTGCATTCTGGGAAAGGCAAATGGGAGAGCCTTAGGTCTCTGAAAGAGAAAGCTGCCCAGCCTTTTGAGTAGCTGTGGAAAGTTACTGAGCTCCAAGTAAGAGATCCCAGCAAGGGAGTCTTTGTTTGGGGTCTGGCTGCTGCACTGCTGAGTGTTTTCGTTCAGTGTGGGCTGGAAAGTTGATACAGACAGAGTGAAACCGGCCATCAACACTCCCAGCTCACTTTCCTGCGGGCAGCCATGCTGGGGACTACAGCGAGCTCGGCCTGTGGTTCAGGCCTCCCTAGATTCAATACAAGGGAGAAGGCCGGGGAGAGGGGTCACAGGTCAAATTTACGTGATTCATTGCTGATTCTTCTACCCACAGAAGAAATAAGGTCACTACCTATCTTTCCTAGGCATACACATTTTGCAAAAGGTCTTACTGTTCTGTCTTTTACTAAATAATAGTCTGAGGTCAACCATATCACTGTTTCCCATGGAAGAGCTGGCCTGAGCCCAAGGTCACTGGCTCCCTGTCCCGAGGCCCTCAAGACCCGTGCCGCCACGCCCCTCCCCTCCCCCAGCCTTACCTGTAATCCGGCCCAGCTGCCCAGCGTACATTTCTCCAACAAATCCAGATATGTGGGCTCCTAAACTTACTCCAATCATGTGAATGTTGCCAAGCGATGCTCCTTTCACCTGAAATTTTAGGGAGTCCATCACTATCCACAGTGAGGGGCCAAGGAACTGACTCCTCCTGGAGGACTTTCCTAGCTGCTGACTTTGGAAATGTCGTTAAGCACCTCACATTCACTGGTTCATTTGAATATCACAAGGCCTCCCAAACACAAATATCATTCTTTTGCTTATATGGATAACAACAACAGCAAGAAAAAGAAAAAAACCAAGACCTGGAGTTGATGTCACCTGTCCTAGGTGAGGCAGCTGGGAGAGGCCAGAGCAGGACTCTAGTCAGCCTCTTCAGCCCCAACTTTGTGCCCCCACAATGTTTAGGTTGTGGTGTCTCTATTCATGCTTCTGCTAGAAGCCAAGCTGTCACATCTTTTTTTAAAGTATTTGGTACAAGGCCTCACTATGCAGCTCAGACTCATAGTGATCTTTCTTCCTTTTTTTTGTTTTGTTTTTTTGTTTGTTTGTTTTGGGGTTTTTTCAGAACCAGGGATTGAACTCAGGCCCTTACTCTTGCCAGGCAAGCACTTATTCTACTATAAGCTATCTCCCCAGTCCTGTTTCTTCCTATTTTCAGCCTCTCCAATGCTGGGATTACAGCGTGGCCAGCACTGCATGTGGTGTGCAGGATAGAACCCTGGTCCCTGCTCTTGCCTACAGAGGCGCTTAATCTGCTGAGCTATCTCGCTAGCCTAAGCCAACACATCTTTAAAAAACATTCCTGATTGGACAAAGAGATGAAAATTTTTTTGTGTATCTTTTGAGTGCTGGGGGTGGAGCCCAGGGCAGCCCACATGCTAGGCAAGCACTCTATCATCCCCAGTCCTTCTTGTAATTTTATTATGAGGGAGGCAGGGCCTTGCTAAACTGCCCACCTGGACTGCAGCTTAGATGAGGAGCTCATGTGATAGTCACGTCACCCTCATCACAGCGGCCACCAGTCCTGGCATTCTGAAATTGTCCTGATCTTATGTCACTCTTGTATGATTATTTTTTTTTTTATGTGGTACTGGGAATTGAACTCAGGACCCTGCGCTTGCCAGGGAAGTGCTTATTCTACTGAGCTATCTCCCCAGCCCCATCTTGTATGATTATTAAAAGAGGAAAATTATGGGATGTGTCACCAAATAAAATGTAAGGTCTCACCTTTGTAAGTCCCTAAAAGCATAAAGCATCTCATGGGACCACACGTCTCAGTTCTGGCTCTGGACAACCTGGATGGTGAGCTTTTGGCCCTTCTGAATGACTACAGAAGCTCAGGAAATAGAAACCAGGAAGCCCACACAGAACCCCTCCTACCCATAAGGCATGTTTTTATGAGTTAAAAGAAGCAGCTTTCTCAAGACACTACATCTTCCTCTGCGGAAATGCTATCATAATGAACATATAAATCAGTAATAGCTACGGGAACAATACAGTTCCTTTAGGTCAGTGTCCTGTGCAGTACTCAACCTGCCCAACCACACCTAGGAGCCTCAGAAGCAGTCCTGACCCTTCCCTGGGGCTTATTCACATCTGCAAAATGTTACCACGTAGTCCTACCCAGTGAGTGAAAATACCTCTAGGCTTCAGGCCTCCCATCATCAGCCAGCTTCAATCTCTGGCCCTGAGTCCTCTAAGAGAAGTCTCGCTTACCAACATCTGGTCGATAAATTCCTTCAAGACCATGGCAACTTTTTTGGTCTTACTAGAGGCGTGGGGGTAAATAACGGTCGTAGCTCCTCGATTCCAGTCCACCACCACCACATTCATGTCTTCCACATCCAGCAAGCCTGCCACCAAGTCCCCCATCCAAACTGGAGCAGAACCCGTGGGCCTGAATCCATGGATGATGAAGGTGGTTCTCTTGGTCACATTAAAGTCCCCAAAGGCCGTGGAGTTGATGATCTGGGCGCAGGCCCGGTCTTTCTCTGTGTGGAGCATCAGCCTCACATCCAGCCCTGTCCCAACCACTGCGCTGTGGAAGCTCAGCCTGGTGAACGTAGCGCATCCTTCATTTCCATCTGCAAAGCAAAGGGGGACAACCTCACAGCTGTTCTTAGCACTGCCTTCTGCTCCCCTGGAGATCAGCCGAGCCTTACCACCTGGCAAGGCCTGGCTCTGGGTCAAGGTCACAAAATCACCCTTGACTCAGTGCTCCAGGGAAGTGGTCCTGCTCTTGCCAGCATTCTTCCATGTGCTACTTGGCTTCAAGCTCCAACCTGAAAGTCACCTAAGGAAGGCTTGGCTGCTCTCCCAGCCACGCAGACTGTGGGAGATGGCTGACAGCATGGCTTTGAATAATTCTTCTGCTTTCAAATACTCCAGTGTGCCAGTCATTACACACTGCATCTGGCAACTCATCGGCGCGTCAATCTTCATCCTCCCTCCCTCCTTCCTGCCTTCTCCCTCTCCCTTTCTTTCTCTCTCTTCTCCCATAACTTGCTTCATGGAGCTAGAGTAGCGGGGAAGGAAGCGAGCTATTGCACACACAAGGCCCAGCTCTGAGCTGGAGAGGCCCTGTAGGACACTGGCAGGAGGACACAGGCCCTAGGGATGGCGCTGCCTTGTGCCAGGCCCAGGAGACAATATGCCTTGGAAACATCTATCCCAACTTCCTCTTCCCAAATATCTGGATTTGCTTTCCAGAAATATATGCTGGGTGGGGGGCACATCACAGGTAAGGTCCTGGTCCTATTCTCGAAGCCTCTGCACTTTCATGCCCAGAAACTACCCTCCTTAATTGTGACTCCTGGAGCAGCCCTCATCCCCAGGTCTCTAATGACCTGGGTCCTTTCAGGGATTTATTTATTTGAAATTCACAAAGGCCGTGATAGCAGGAGGGAGTGACATTCAAAATCAATGAGTGCACGAAGCCAGAGCAGAGGGCTAAAAATCAAGAAGGCTGGAAACTCCTCGCCCTAGAGAAGGGGCGCTCAATCTCGAGCCCCTAGTTGGCCCAGTTTTCATTTCGCTCTACATCCTCAAGCAGGGTGAATAAACACACACACCCTGGCAGCCTCTTTCCCTTCCTCTTCCGCCAGGCTGCACACTCCTGGGGAACACAACTGAAACTTGGTTGGTGGCTTGCCAAGCAAATAATTGCTTCATTCGTCAGCTCATGGGACCGAGTCAGTGCAGGGCAGGGCAGGGCCGCACCCCTGGCCTGAGCCATCCGGAAGCCGGGCTCTGTTCTGTGCGTGCTCCTGACTACCAGGTGGGCTGGGGAAACCCGGCCATCTTTCTCTGGCTCCTCTCTGCCGAGGGAAACGCAGGGCAAGTGAAGTCTGAACGAGCTTGTTCTGGGGCAGCCCTGGATGCCCTGCCTGAGACTGATGCTCATTCTGAGCCACATGAGCAAGGTCGGGCCAGCGGGCTGCACGTCATAAATGCAAGTCCTTGGACTTTCGGGACCTGAGCTATTTTTTAGCACTGCTACCTGCCTCGCTATCTATTCACGCTTCAGTCAAACTTCTGACAAAACAAATGGATTCTCAGTTCTCATCTGAAACAGTGATGGCACAGGGGCTGAATCCAGAGCCCCATGCTGAACTGCGTCCCCACCCCTTCTGACTTTTTTGTATTTTGCAACAAGTCCTCATTAAGACACTCAGTTGGCCAGGCCAGTTTTGAACTTGTAATCCTTCCACCCCAGCCTCCCAGAGAGTTCAGATGCCAGATGTGTGCCACCACACCTGGCTTGATCATGTAGCTTTTAAATCTCTTAGCAATAACGCTGTGCCCTAGAGAAGTGCATGCTAAGCCCTGAGTGAAAAATAGTGTATTTCCTTCCCTTCTCCCAGTGCAAGAAGTTGCAAGAGCTTGATGTGCATTCTCTCTCGTGCCTGGACAACACACGTAGCTCATTCAACAAAAGTCTACGTTAAGCGGGGTGTAGTAGCACATGCTCTATTCCCAGCACTTGGGAGGCTGAGGCAGGAGGATCATTACCAGTTCAAGACCAGCCTGGGCTACAAAGTGAGCTCAGGGCCAGTCTGAACTGCATAGCGAGAACTTGTCTCAAAAAAAAAAAAAAATAAATAAATAAATAAATAAATAGTCTACGTTTGCTGAGCAGGGTGGTTCACACCTATAACCCCCCAGACTACAGAATAAATAAAACCTTAAAAGAGCTGGAGAGGGGCCCGGGAGATGGCTCAGTGGAATAAGTGCTTCTCTGGCAAACACAAGGGCCTGAGTTCAATCCCTGGTTCCACCAAAAAAAAAAAAAAAGAGCTGGAGATATAGGGATATAGCTTAGTACTCCCTGAGTTCAAACTAAATGGGTGTTTAGGCACAAAAAACATAGCTCAATAGTAGAATGTCTGCCTGGCATGCACATACGTGATCCCGGGACCAAGCCCAGCACCACAGAAAAGAATAAAGTAAGTATTTAAGTATCTGAGCCCCTCTGTATTGATGCCTCGCTCCCCACACGGCAGTGTGCACCTGTGGCACACGCACCACGGCGGACACACAGCCCTCCCTGCCACAGGCGCGCCAAGCCACCCCCACAGCCAGCAGCTGGTGGCCGTGGCTTTTTAAACCTGAAATCTTAGCATTTTGCAGTGCGTAAGTGCGTCCGGGCACTCATGTCTAAGAGGCCCCTGTTTGCTCACCAGAGCTGTTCTATTGCTCATTTTCTGGGAGGAAAAATGAAAAAGTTAATACATTCATATCGCCCCTCATATACTCCCTGGGTACACACACACACTCACACCCACGCACTTGTACATTTTTAAGTGCAGTGAGTAAATGCTCATTATTTGCAGACCATCGTTGTAAATTGATGTGTACTTCCACAGTCAGCACTTGAGGCATCTTCTCAGTAATTGGTGGAGAGGTGCGGAGTGGCGCGCATTCATCATCTGACCCACAGGCCTCAGTAGGCGTCCAGCAAACTAGCTCTCTGTCTTCTTGTTTCAGCTCTCGCACTTCGAGGCTTCTTTACACAGTGACTTAGTGACCATCATTTCCTGCTTTGTTCCTTTCTGCCTCTGTTTTTCTCTTGGTAATCTCACTGTTTAAATTTCCACGGTAATTTCATTGGCTGGGAAGACAGCTCAGTGGCATAGGTACCTGCCTGGCAAAGGCAAGGTCCTGAGTTTGATCCCCAGTACCACAAAAAATAAAATAAAACGGTGCTTCACAAGCACTCAGGAGGCTGAGGCAGTAGGATCACTATGAGTTCAAGGCCAGCCTGGGGAACCTAGGCAAGTTCAACACCAACCTGCACCACATAGTGAGACCCCCGTCTCAAAAATAAAAATAAATAAAATAAAATGGCACTTCATGCAAAGTGTTACAGCGCTGTGTCTCCAAGCCTAAGGAAGTTGGGATGTGGCCTCCTGAGGAAACACCTAGGTTAGATAAGCTCCTCTCAGGCATGAGCTCCAGGGCCACCGGGCATAGTCCAGAGTTAATCAGTCAAAGCGTCTGAACCAGAACACACAGAAGGCTTTGCACGTATTCATCAGTCAACAGAAATATTATGAGCCAAGAGAAACCCAACCCCATGTCTCTCAAGAATCTGTATTCAGAACTCCTGAACTCACAGTACTCAACTCTGTGGTCAAGGCCACTTTTTTTAGAACACAGCTGACACAAATAATAAGAAAGAGTACATGAAAATCATCACACGTCAGTTCTCCAGGAGGCTGACACAGGAAGATCACTCGAGCCCAGGAGCTGAGTTCAAGTCCAGCCTGGGTGGCACAGGAAGACCCCAACTCAAAAGAAGCAGCATTGCCGGAATCAGACTTCTGCAGAGACGTAGTCCCCGTCCTATAAAGTTAGGAGTTCGTCGATACTCACAGCACATCCTTTCTATAGATGCCTCCTTCAGTCACTGGCTCTGGCTGTCTTTTCAAGGAGGGCTCGAGGCTAAGTCCAAATTCATTCCCAAGCTGACATGAATTTCTTAGCCTAGGTGATGCCCTGACTTTGTTTTTATCGGTACATAGATGAGCACAATGACCACATTCATCACAGGGACTTTGTACCTGTACATGCTAAACCTTGTCGCGGCGTCTTTGCTTCCCCTCCCCTCCCTTCAACCCCACTTCCCCTCATTTACAAAAATTTTGTTTCTATTTCTCCCCCTCTATTCTCTTTTTCCTTCTTCTTGTCCCTGACTTTGAACAATATTCTTTTCCTCAGGAATTATAAGTACTACTGTACTTCCTTTTTTTTGTCTGCTTCCTGCTAAGATTGAATTTTGCTCTACAGAAATTTTACTTGTTTTTTTTCCCAACAAGCATCAGACTCATAGTGATCCTCCTGTGTCAGCTTCCCCAGCACTGGGATTACAGGCATGTGCCACCGTGCCCAGTTTCACGGCCAACATACCATGTGGTACCGAGAAAAGAACCCAGGTCCTTGCGCTGTCAGGCAACGAATGGTCAGATGATGAATGCGCGCCACTCCGCACCTCTCCACCAATTACTGAGAAGATGCCTCAAGCGCTGACTGTGGAAGTACACATCAATTTACAATGATGGTCTGCAAATAATGAGCATTTACTCACTGCACTTAAAAATGTACAAGTGCGTGGGTGTGAGTGTGTGTGTGTACCCAGGGAGTATATGAGG